AAAATTGCGAAATTCAAAATAAACTAAAAGTGCAAAAAATTGTTTGATTTGCATAATAATTTATATTTAAAAGTTTTTTGAAACCGCTGATTTCAAATTCAAAATAAAAATTCAAGAATTCAAAACGGCAAATTCAATATAATAAGCAAAAAATTTAAATATGGTTAATTGCATAAAAAGTTTTGAAGGTTTTTTTAAAGTCGCTGATTCTATTTTTAAAATTAAAATTGGTTTATTTTAATGACGAATTTAATATGACGGCAAAAAAATTTTTTAAATACTCGGTTTACATAAAAATTAATTTGTAAGAATTTTTATAAACTTTTCCACCATTTAAAATTTTGATTCAGTTTTAAATTCAGTGACACAAAAAAACCCACCAGAAAGCATTTTTTTCGCTTAATAGCCAAGGGGTTAAGGAGGTAAAAACCCTTTGAAAAAACCCTTTGAAAAAAATCCTATTTTATATTTTTAAGAGCGTATATCAGATATACATATATAATAAAAAAATGGTAATGTACGTATCTATTAGTATATATAAAAAATATAAAACAGTGTAAGAGATATGAAATGTCTTATTGTTAACCCTAGAACGCATGAGAGGGGTCGATTTCGACCCCAGGCGAACTTTGAAAAACGCTCCTGAGCTAGCGAGTGACATTATTGTCGAGTCTTTAAATGGATTTTTCACTAACTAAACTTGAGTAAAATTAAATTTACCGCATACCATTCTCTTCGTTATTAAAAAACGAAGAAATTCATGTAGGTTTAAAGGCCCTTTATTTCTGTAGGACCGGTTTTACGATCAAATAAAGCGTGGGGTCGATATTGCCCCCAGTCATGCGTTAGAAGGTCAAAAAAATGATACATGCGTTCTAGGGTTAAACATACATTTAATAGTTTTAAAGGCATTTATTAAAGGTGTATTTAAATTTTTCCAAAATGTTATATTTTTCAAAGTAGCCTATGCCATTACTATTTTTGAGAAATAAAAGATCTTTTAATAATAAGATTAAAGCTCATTTAAAGACAAAATTAATTACATAAAAAGTTCTAAATTTGTTAAAAACAATAGGATGTCAGGCTATTTTAAAAAGTACAATATTTTTAAGTATGCTGTTTTCGTGCCTTTGAAACTAAACAAACTTTTGGCCAAAATATTTTTTCGTAATTCTCTCGTAACTCTTATATTGTTCTCACGATATATGTTTAGAAATCGACTTTTTCAATAGTCTGTTTTTCATAAGACAACTTAATTATAGAAAAAAACATGTCTCTCTTATTTTGATCTATAACACATTGTAAGTTCATTGAAACTGTGGGAGGTCATTTGCTCATGTTTTCTTGTTAGATCATAAAATTTCATTTTTATTTGAAGGAAATTTTATCCACCTCCATATCTATAAATTACACATAAAAATAAGTCAAATAATGCAATATAGTCTCTTGTAAAATATAAAACACATTATTTTTTACAAAAATATATAATGTAAAATATAAAACCTGCGTACAATTTTTTGTATAAAAGTATCTCGCAATTTTTGTTATAATATCAATAGATCTTAGGATAAGAGAAATGTTTTATCATAATGTTTACTAGAACATTTTTTTGTAGGTTTAAAAACGTGCGTTTAATGATGATTAATGATAATGGTTTAAATACTTATACACGAACCCAAATGCGCCTATGACGCACAGCGTTCTTGAACTTTCTACGATCGACTGATTGGGCGGTGAAAGCGACGAAAAAAGAGAAAAAAGAAATCGTCAGATTCAGGGCATCATTGCATCGAATATAATCCACAATGCATATGGCGCTTATATTGTTGGAATTTTAGAACTCTTACAGCTCAACGTATCCCGGAGTTTTCTAATACTTGTATGACCTTTGAATTATAAGTTAATTTTGATTTAATCGGTATTAAATATTTCAAATTCTTAAGTCTTTTGTAGTCTATTAGAATGTTCTATGCTTTAAAAATTTTTAAATTTCAACTAATGCTCGAATTTAAATTCTAATAAAATAAAATTTGTTCAAAATTTAATAAAGAATCATGCTACTTTCTACCTATTTATTATTATTATTATTATTGTGATCCATTTTAAATTATGTAAGCTATCTATTGATTGCTATTCCTCGAATCTAGAAACACTCCAAGATCTGTGCCGCCCCGAGATTCTCATTAATTAACAAGAAAAAAGAATTTGAATTTCTCTAAATAGCACAGTGATGCCTGAGACCGAGGATTGATGTCGAAAAATATAAAGCAAAGAATTTAATCAGATATCGCGTTTCCTCATTCTTTCAATATAATATGGGTGTAGTCTTTTTCGATCTTTGTCCCGTTTGCCACCCTGCCGCGCCGCTCTGATAAATGTAGTGGCAACCACGTGGATCATGCGCTATCCGAGTTTGCGAAGAAGGAAAGACAAGGCAGAGCGCGGTGAAAGCGAAAGACAGACGCGACCCTATCAGTCGTTACGTACGCATGCATGTACATACAGAATACAGACGCACGTACGCACGCGCGCGCAGCCATCAATGACGAGCAGGACGCATACTGTGCAGTATCGTATCGAAATATTTACCTTGCCATGAGCACAATTTTACTTATTTTCTCAAATCCTCAAATGATTAACTCTATTATACAGTCATTCTTCAACACACGTGAGACGTTATTTTCCTATAGGAGTTTATTCTCAAGAATAACTTATAATTTTTTTTTATCTTTTAAAAGAAAAAACTTTTCATCTTTCAAAAATTATTCATTATTCAATATATTTTTTAATTAAATCTAAACTCGTAAATAATACGCTTTACTTGTGAATCGTATTAAAAAGGGCGCGAGCAACAAAATTGTCGCATGTTAAAACTATTACAATTTATTATTCTAATGTTCAAGTCAAATCTTGTCAGATACAAAATAAAAAAGACAATTAAACTACAGGTAGATTGATATATACGCCAAAAAATAATATTAGTTAAAATCACACATATATATATATATATATATATATATATATATAGCTTTTGCTTTTATAAGCAAGTATAATTTTGTGAAAGAAAAAATGCTAAAATTGCGCGTCGTACATGTAAACATATGGTGTAACGAAAAGTCTAGATATACGCTCTACTAAACAATATCGTGATTATAATCAAAATATCGCTCCCTTATACGGAGCTGAACGTGCGGAATACCGATAAAGGGAAGAGAGATCGCGGTTCTATCCTCGCTAAATAGTTCGTGAAAGAGCTCTAGCGAAAGTTAGGGAAGACCGATATTAGGAAAGCCCCTCGTGTTTATGGGATTTGGGATTTGGTAAAGTTATAGGGTCGCGGGTGCGCTTAACGCGACGCTGGCACGCAAGGGTTAGATTCGCGATTCGAGCGCGGGCGCGGGCGCGGGCGAACGTGTGGCAGTGAATCCGTGACTGCACGCGTGCGAAGAGTCCGCAGGTCACCGCGTCCTTTGCACCCTTTGCGTCGCTTCCCTTCGCAATCCCTCTCGCTTCCTCTTTCCGCCACCCTTTATCCCTTTCGTTGTCCTCGTTCTTCAATCTCATGTATACTCTCTTTCTTCCTTTCCACCTTTTCTTTCCCTTTCTCGCTTCTCAGACAATGGCGTATCGCGTGTAGGGGCATTTCTCCAGACAACATCGCACGGAGCACGGAGCATCTTGTATTAATTTTAAGTGCATCTCGTAGTACATGTAAATTGTAATTGTCTTGAATATAGCAGAGCTTAATCTTTTTTATGGAGACTTAAAAATTGGATTATTTTTAATGTAACATTTTAAGCTATACATTTTTATATACTTAAAAAATCGTCACTTGTCCCGCGTTATCTACAAAGAGATGGCATGCTTTTTGCACACTTTATTATTATATTAATCAAAATGCTAAATTTTTATTACAGTTTAAACATCTAATTGATGTCTGGCCATCATCCAACTCCGTTGTCTCGTATTTTACGATCGATATTGGTCTTGACGAGCTAAACAAAGATTATTTTCGCACAAGAGTGACGTGATTGCCGTTTATAACAATAATATCAATTGATTAGCGAGAGTAATAAGCTTCATTTTATCGCCTAAACTTGGAAATAAAGCTGCCGATCGCGGTCGGTGAGGCGCCGTACACGAACGGATCAACACGAATCATTGATAAGAGTGTGGTCTTGTTTGCATATATGAACAGCAACTACGCTTTACTACGCGTAACAAGCGCGCTACTGATTAAGACGATTAAGTCCGTTGGGAACAACAATATATATATAGTAGCGTAATAATGCGAAGCGATAACAAATTCTTGGATTATGCAACATGAAATATGTCAGTATTGCGATGTCTGTTTTGCGATATTTCTCCGTTAATTGAAAATGACGAAAACGGATATATATCCTCAATGAAGGATTCTAGATTCTAGGACGTCGTATTAAAGATATTTCGAAAAGTTAACGTTAATCACTCAAGTCGAGTCAAGACAATCAATTACACATTTGTAGAAAAAAATATTATGACTGATGTAAGAAATATAGCGAATGTGAAAAAATAATCGACGTGGGGAAGTGGTGAGGGCATCGCGAACGCCGGTTACGCGCCTGTGCACTCTCTCGCGGCACCGCTCACCGCTCACCGTTGTCCGCCTCGCCGCGCCGCGCCCCACCCCCTGCGTCCCTCGCCGCGCGCCCCATCGTCGTGGCGAATTGCACGCGCGAGGCAGGTCGCGCCGACCACGCCGGCAGCCTCCACGTGCTGCCGAACGGCACTCAGCCAGCCGCCCCAAATTGTAGGTCGCCGCCGTCCGCCGCGTCGGTTCGCGAAGACCGTGAGGCAGCGGCGGGGCGCGGGGATAGGTGGGGCGGATGAGGCGAGCGCGCGATAGCGCGACGACGGGGTGAGGGGAGGGCTGAAAAGGGTGATGCGACGAGGAGAGCGGTGGGGATGGGGAACGGGGAACGGGGAACGCGGATCGCGCGCTCGTGCGTGTGCGCCTCGGCCGTGATCGCTCGGTGCGGCCGAGGACGGCGAGGAGGTAAACATTGTACAGTACGATTGGCCGGCCCCGTGGCGGCGCGTCTTTCGCTTTTTCGTCTTGGCTTCGTATTTTACGTGAAGAAGAGGAGCGATTCCCTTTCTTTCCGAGTTTTGCGCGATCTCATCTCGAGTGCAAGTTCCTCGGTTTTCGGCTTCGCGGATCCCTCGCCGACTGGCTGGATCAAAATCGGGATTCTGCGAGTCTACTCGTTGTTGGCGCTGTCGCAGACTCTTCCGGATGTCGCCGAAACGAAGGACGATGACGACCAGCGCCCAGATTTTGGATTACACTAGGGTGTAACGTGGCGGTGTAGGTGGGTGCTCCTCTCCTCTATCGGGACATTTAATCCGTCTCTTTTTTTTATTTATTTATTTCGTCCTCTTTCCTAACTGTTCGTTTGGAAGTGACATCACGAGCCCCGATTCGTGAAAACTGATGTCTTCGGATCCTTCGAATTTTTTTTCACGTAGTTTTAAGAGTTCTCTCTCTCGACTGCCGTCTTTTATTTTTATACATCTTTATCCGTAAATACTCGGACTTGCAATCTCTTGTTTTCTTGTAGATCTTGTAGATTTGAGCATACGCACATAATAAAAAGATAGTTGCCATTAAATTGAGCGAAGCGAGAAGCGCTTTTGACATATCGTATCTACGGTTCTAGTTCTAACGGTTCTAGACTAGAGCGAGCGTCTGCCACTTTGATTTTGGGCATTAAACGGATGGTGTACTTGTACTCCGAAGTCACTCTCGCGACGTAGAGAGAAAACCCGTCGGAGAAGGCGCGAGGAGAGGAACCAACTGTCATCAGCTTTTTAAACCAGAATCGCGCGTCATCATATTCTGGTTGCTGATAGACCTTGTTTCTTTTTCCTTCTTGTGTACATGCATGTTAATAGGAACATTTTCTTACGTAACAATTAGTTATCAGTAAATTTATTTTAAAAAATGTATTTTATTATATTTTAAAATTATATTATCAGATTATTATTAAAATTAGAACTCAAATTTTTTTATTCTCAGAATATTCTTATTGTTAGAATAAAGATAATATCAACGTCAACGCATTTTGTAATAGAAGGTGTGAGATACATACACATATATATATATATATATATATATCGATATAATGTATTCACGAGAAAAATACTTGTATAAAAATCTCTTCTTTTTATTATACCTACTTGTGCTAGTGATCGTATATGTGACATTTAACATTTAATCGCTACTTATTACAGTTCGCGAGCCTTATACGCATTTTTTTTTAATTTTCAAACACATTTTACGATTTATTATAATAATATAAAATGCATAATTGTAGATCTGCAAAATTAGCAGAAATTTGTTAAATAAAACAAATAAGAAGTAGGAAAGTAAAAACTAACAGTTATAAGTAACGATAATATCGCAATTTAAAAAATCGCAATAAAACGTCGACACGTTAAATTTCTTTCCGGAAAAGATATCAATTGTTAGTTAATCGAAAAACTACATTAATTACTCTTATGCAGTTAGGCCAATTTTCATAAAGAGCGATCAGAAGTCATCGCGAGGTTATTCGAGTCACGAAGAGAGAGTGGCGACGGGCGGTTCCACGAAATTCGGCACGAAAGTATCTTCCGGGCGTGAGCAGTGACGGTTGGCCGTGGGGTGAGATTTTCCTTCAGTACGGGGGATGTTTCCGTGGATCAATATGATTTTTGCGTATCCTTTTTACGCGTTGCGATACACGTCGTGGGTCGTGGGTCGGCCGATCAGTCCGAGCTCCACGAAGACCACGAAGAAGAAGAACGGCCCCTGTACAAATGGGTGGTGCAGGAAGGAGGGAGGATAGAGAGAATTAGAAGGAGATGGAGGGGGAGGAGGAGGTGGAGGTGGAGGAGGAAAAGAAGGACCATAGGGATGAAAAGAGGGCTGAGCGAATGGGAGGGAAAAAAAAACGAAAGAAAAAACATCGCGCGCGATTATCGTCAGACGTGTGCCGCCGCGTGCTCCTCTTGTGATGTAACTCTCGACGTCCTTACTGCGCGCCGAGTTGGACGAGGTCGGTGATCGCTATAAAAAAATGCGACTCGTACACGACGACGTACACGTGGAGGCGGCCGCGCGGGTTTCGGCGGCCACGGCGTGCGAAGACGAGCCGCCACGGCCGGCGCGGCGGTAGGCAAGCGTCAAGCGACGGGGGGCAAGCGGGCGCGCAATACGCTTGCAGCACGCAGCACGGGCCGCCAACCACGCCCGCAGCCTCCCACGACCGTCGTCGGACGATAGCGCCGCGCGCGTGCAGCCGCTTAGCGCCGTGCACGCGGTTCGACGATTCGTATAATTTAAAAGATAAGACTATCCTCCGTCCGCTTATTTACAACTTATTCACTAATACTGCCTATTTTTATCTAAAATTCAAATTTGCACAAGGCTGTTATAATTGTTATTGCGGTATCTCGGGTCTGTTTCCTAGTTTGGACAAAAATTTCATGAACGAACGGCATAAATCCAAGTCGAAAGGCATCGGCTTTCGGATGATAAAGCAACAAACATGTAAATATAGTGCTAGTATTCGAATATCGTAATTTTGTTACAATGCCCGCGGTTATATAAGGCCTGCTCGTTTTAGCTCAACTTCTTGCACGGTTCATATTTCCTCTTTTTCTTTTCATGTTTGCCTATAGTTTCCTTGACAAGCGCGACAAGATATCGTATTATATTCATGATGAATTTACGGTAAATTGTCTGCTAACGAGCAGCCATGTGCAATCGTACATTCTTTTTTGTTTTAACACTTATTACGAGCTATCTTATCGCCGGAATATTCTAAAAGCGATAACGGGTTCTGCAATTATTATTGGTACTTTTTTAGTCCGTAAACAATGATGCAGTTAAGATTTCGTTTGCGTACAATCAGACGTGCGCAACATTAATAGTAGCGCAATTTATTGTTACCATAACATGTCACACGTCACAATATCGTAACGGTATTATGACCTTGTGGCAAGAATCTGCTCGTTTAAAAATTGTATGCGAGTTTGCACAGCTTGTCGATTTTAGCGCGTAGTTTAAAAAATTCAACAAAATACTTAACCGTGTAATATTTCCAGTAAGCAAAATAATAGTAGTATGTCGGCAGATTGGTAATAGATTTGATCAAACATATCCGCCAGACTGATATCAACTGCATCCACTTTCAGCTCGTGTTTTGCCAGCAGAGTCTGCTGACATAATCCGGACAGCAGATTAGCAGTAAGTAGAACTCACGCAGAGCTTGGGCGGTTCCTGCAGGCTCTGCTTGATTTTTGTCGCCAGTCTGCTGTCTGATTATGTTAGCAGACATACTTTTGTTGGTGTTCTGCCGACATCATGTGATATATTAAAACCGACATCAAATTTTTAGTTTTTTTGCCGACAAAAAAATGTGTAGCAGATACTTGGTAAGATTTGTTTTCGACAGCCTTGGCTGTCTTAGTTTAAGCGTAATCAAGAACCTACGGAAGCTGCACGATCGTAATTTACACCGTAGACACCGTACAACCGGAGAGTCTCGCGAGTACGGCAAATCTGAGCGGCTAAACTATGATTTTGTATTGTCAAATTATTTACATGCGAAAATAAAAAATAGAGAATAAATTCAACTAATCGGGCTCCTCCAAATGTTTTCGTTTTAGTCTGCCGTCCTCGATGTTGGGCTATTATCAGACGGAGTCCGTGCCGCCGAATCCAGCGATGTCGATGTCGGCGCCGGGTAGCGGGATGGCTGCGGCCGGCTTAGAGACGATGAGCTCGGTGAAGAGCTTGGTGTGCAGCCCAGATCTCACAATATTCGCGGCTACGCCAGGATGCAGCGGGGTCGAAGGCGTGGGTCCGGCCAGTCCAACGACGGCGGAGGTCGGGAAATACCAGTGTCTACTCTGTCAGAAGAGCTTCGCGCAGAAGAGCGTGTATCAAAGTCACCTAAGGTTGCACGGCAAGGACGGCGAGGACCCGTATCGCTGCAACATCTGCAACAAGACGTTCGCGGTGCCGGCGCGACTGACGCGTCACTATCGCACTCACACTGGTGAGAAACCGTACCAGTGCGAGTACTGCAATAAGTCGTTCTCGGTGAAGGAAAACCTCAGCGTGCACCGGCGCATCCACACGAAGGAACGGCCGTACAAGTGCGATGTGTGCGGACGCGCGTTCGAGCACAGCGGCAAGCTGCACCGTCACATGCGCATCCACACCGGTGAACGGCCACACAAGTGCACCGTATGCGCCAAGACGTTCATACAGAGCGGCCAGCTGGTGATACACATGCGCACGCACACCGGCGAGAAGCCGTACGTGTGCAAGTCATGCAAGAAGGGCTTCACCTGTTCCAAACAATTGAAGGTACATACGCGCACCCACACTGGCGAGAAGCCCTACACCTGTGACATCTGTCGCAAGGCGTTCGGCTACAACCACGTGCTCAAGCTGCACCAGGTGTCGCACTACGGCGAGAAGGTGTACAAGTGCACGATCTGCAACGAGACCTTCGGCTCCAAGAAAACGATGGAGCTGCATATCAAGAAGCACCCGGAGTCACCGGCATCCGTTACCTCCACTGTCATCGACAGCGGCATCTCCTCGCCTGCGGCGATCGGTTCGCCGATCGAACCGGATGTCGAAATTTCTCAGGGTATCGGCGGCAGCGGCAGTGGTAGCGGCAGCGGAAGCAGCGGTAGCGGCGGCAATCTTGGTCCGGTCGCGATCCTGGCAAGTCCAAATTTACCGGGCATCGCTGTCGACAACAAGGAGAACCTGAAGACTGAAGAACCCTATCCGGATTCGACATCGAACGCTTACGTCGTTCAACGCGACCTTGCGTACTATCTCTATTCCGGCAACAAGGAGCAGCAGTATTCCCAGCCATTAATGACACCGTCGAACACAGCGGAACCCGTCCTCGCTGACATCGACGAGAAGCGCTTCCAAGCGAGCGTGGTGGTGAGCGCGCCGCTGGAACCAGTGGCCCATCATGTATTTTTCTATCCTGAGCCAGCGTACGGCAGCTTCAGTTTGACCACCAGCAGCGACGTCGATCTCGATGCCACCGACTGTTCGTCTCTTCTAAATCTGCCGGGTAATGACGCGCGTCGAAGAGTCGAGGCCGCCCTAGAGGCGGTCGAGGAAGAACGTCAGAGGCAAGAATACAGCGCCGGGATTGTCAAAGTTGATCGGGATCCATTGCTCACGCCACCGTGCAGCAATCCCGAGAGCCCGGCGTCGTCGCCTGATCTGGCCCTGGATCTAGCGATACCACCGCGGGAGACGCTGATCTTGCCGCCCAGGAAACGCAGCAAGATGATTCTTCAGTCTATGGAGAGCGAATACAGAAGAAGCGGCGGTGGTAGTGGCGGCCTAATTGCGACCTCACAAAGACAAAATTCTGTCATACAGTTTGCGCGAGCTTCATAGTGAACGTGCCGAAACCGCCAGCAAAGCTTCGCGAAGATCGCGAACTTTAGAAACTGGAAGAAAGGATCCCCCGGAAGGTATCCCACTTTGGTAATACCGAGATCCAGAGCTGAAAAGAATCGATTTGTTCCTTTGGCTAGTGTAGGGCGAATTTAAGAGGAAGGAGAACTTAAAGTCATCGCGAGTTTTGCTGGTTTTCCAACGTTAAATGATAATCGCAAAGTGTGTAACGAGCAACGGACTTTTAACTCGTCAACCGCGATGCGAAACTGCGTTCGACAAGCACGGCGGCGCGGGCGTTTCGTTTTCGAAATCGGACGGAAGAGGAGATGCTCACGTGCCTCTTGGATAAATCCTGAACGTAACCAGTAAATTGTAGCTCGTTGGCCTTGCTTAACTTTCCATTCGCAATCAGCATGATCTGAGAAAAAGCCGATCGCGCCAAGTTAGCTCGGCGATCGAAGCCGCGTTTGTTACTTAATGACATTTAATAACGGTTAATGCAATCCATCCACGGATTGCGTGTATTTTCCTAACGGCTCACGGGCAACAACACTCGCAACTTTTCGATCTTGTTCGATAGCCTCTTAGTCTTTTGAGGCTTTAACGTTACATATGTATGTTAGATGCGTGAGAGATGTAAAGAGAGACTGGATATATTCCTCGATCGCGAAAAGATCGCATAGATCGTGAGCGTGCATCATGAGGTAGTCGCGCGTACGCAATTACTATAGCTATTAAAAAAACGTAATCTCGTTAAACCAAATTTTTTGGATAAAAATGTAAATAATGTTTGGAAAGAAAGGAAAGCTTATATTAAAAACGGAGAATTTTTTTTATGGAAAAATCTGTATGTTAATTTTAGAACGTTATACACGAATACACATACGTATTTCACTTCTTTAAAAGTTTTCTTGAAAATTTTATGTTGCGTTTAATTTAAATATGCTATTAAAAATATATTATTTATATTTTTTATTTATTTTATGTACATGTTGTCTATATTTCAAGTATATGGTAGATTTATGATGCGAGGGGTTACGTCTTTTTAACATTGTGCGATTCGTAATAGAGCGGCCACAGTAGAGTACTACAAGCATCTGATGCACAATTTTTAGTATTCCTGAAAGAGAGAATGTGCCTGTGGTAAAAAGGTGGTTTGTTCAAGTATAAGAGAAATATGTTAGATATATTTGTGGTATTTGGCTACTGTAAATTTACATTGTAGGGCAGCTATTGCCAGCAATATTTAGCGGTCAGTAATCAACGTACAAAATGATTAAAGCTATATTTAAATGGCCGGCCAACTTTGTGAGATGATTATCGCTAGCCATACAACTGCCGAATATATCGTGGTCAACTAATCGATCATCATTAACGCAATTATCGATTAATGCAATATGATATGGAAGAAAGTGTTGACCGTTCAGTGTATGAAGGTTCATTTGTTGAGTAGAGCGAGGCAAGGAATTGTAACTCGGACGTTTGCACGTATTACCTCATCGCTGCACGCGAGCGATGTCTCTTTTTTTTTTTTTTTTTTTTTTTTTAATAATTTATACGCCCGCTTTTGGGTATAACTTTCGACGTCGTGTATTTGTCATGTGTAGTTGTCTAACTCATGCCGATCGACTCGCCCTTCGCTGTGTCGGATGCACGCTCGAAGGCCGAACATCTAATCTCTTGCCAGCCTTAACAAGACTGACGTCAGTTTAGCCTCGTTAGTGTCACGATTCGATTTAACGAGGAGTTGCCGGTGTCAATATCATCGTCACTGTTTGAATATTTGCCAATTGTGTAAAAGATGACAAATTTAAAACAGATCATGTATTTTTTAGCGCATAAGTATATTATTCTCGGCAGTTTGCTATAATTTTATAAAAGTAACACACGCGATAGACGTGCCTATGTGCCTGTCTTAATTTGAAATCCCAAAGTAAGAAAAAAAATTTAACTTATTAAGGATTTCAAACATTTAACAACTTTTATAATAACTCTCCTCAAGTTCAGAAAATTAAGAATTTTATTTTTTAAATCATAACTTTTATCAAAAACTAATTTGTGCTACACTTGGAATAAATATGTTCCATCTGACATCATATTGTATTTAATGTAACAGAATATTATTTGCTCGACGACTATGCCACTGGAATCTCTCGTATCAAACGATTAGATCGGACGGGCGAATTTTTATTCGTCGACAATTTGTCAGAAAATTTAGATAAATTTTCAAAGATTCCGGGGCGAGTTTTGCCAAAGTCGATTAATTGTCAACCACAGGTCCAATTTACGCCTTTGCCACCTTCCAGTCTAATACTAGAGAAAGATAGAGAAGCTCAATATTAAACACACTAAAGTCAGATTGATCAACTTTGGCGAAATCGACCGTGTGGATCTTTGGAAAATCTATGAATTTTGCTCCCACAATCATACGCTTTCGATTATATTATATATATTTATACGTAGGTATAATACAGATAATAAGATACAGCTTGCATATAAAAGATACGGAACAAGACCGACAAACTGAATTGACGACGGAAGAGGCAAGGAAGGAAAACGGACCTTAATGGTATCGTCGCAGTTGTTTATCGCTTTTGTGAGAATTCGAAATCGGTCGTTATTTAGTGCGTGGAAATTAGTGCGTAATATATATTAATCGGCATAGAGCCAGAACGATATATCGCTGCGGAATTGTAAGAAAGAAAGAAAGAGGATTGACAGCGCAAGTAAGGATGGTGGAGATGGAGGAGGATGGAGATTGGGGAAGGGGGAAGGGGGAGAAAAGTGCACCAAACAATTTAATATCTCTGTGATAAGAACTCCATAGTACCAGAGTATTAATTAAGCGGAGCCGAGCCCACTGCCAGAGTACAAGCGTATATGTGCACATGCATGCTAGTGTGATGCGAAACTACAATGACACACCGTATAACGGTAACGATATACTATCGCGACGGAACTCAGTTTGATACAGGAAGATTTTCAACTTACGTAAACTCTTTGTCGATTTTTGAAACTTTAAAGTAATCTCACGGAAATTCTAAATCGCATAGATAAATTACAAATCCTAAAGTTATAAATCCAAAATTTTAAACAAATTCTACATTCTGGTCGACGTATTTTACATTTTATGATTTTGAGTTTTTTAGATCCCATCTATAGATTTTTGTTTCTTCAAAACGTATTTGTTATCCAACAATCGAATCTTTTGTCAAATATTTTTGGATACTCTAATACATCATATTTAAATTAGCCTGGCAAACCGAGCTCTGCCGCAAACAATGCTGATAGTAATAAAATACACGCCCGCTCGCGACGCCTGGCTACCGTAACATGCGTGTACATATATGCGTTCATCCAAGTTCACATAACAATAACGAGTAGTGTAACTTGTATCGTGTATTCGCACATATAATATTCGCAATCGTCACGAGAGCACACCGCGCAGCCCACTCTCTACTTACTTTCGATACCCTTTTAGCGTTGAAAATAGTGCAATCGTAATTTTAAGCTCGACCGGTCACGGACCGCATCTTACCAATGTATAAACTCTTCCATGATGGACTTTTTATAGAAACTATGTTTTCAAGTAATGTAATTTATTACGAGATATGTCATAACAAAAAATTCTGAAGCTGGGATTCGGAAGCTACGAAGGAGGGGGGTTGTTAAAATTCACTCACGTTTGGATTAACTCTAAAAATTTCGAAATTTTAATTTTAGAGGGACTTTAATTGCTCCCTGACGACAATTGTAATTGTATGACGAATGTAAGCCGCGCGGTGTAACGCGAATTGAGAGTGTTAATTATTATAAGTATTACATATTAATGACGAGAGGAAAAGTAGCATAACAACGTCACTATAACTAGCATAGAATGCCTATTATTATTATTATTTCACGGTACTATTACGATTATTATTATTATTATTTTTATTATTATTGTCATTGTCATTATGAATATTATAATTTTATTAATATCAATTTATTATTTATAATTACTATTGTGAAACCGCGTACATGCTAGTAAGATGAGAACTATTTTGTCTCAACTGGCGTGTGGAACTGATTACATATAAAAGTATCATTTTTATAAAAGAAAAACGGAACACCATTTCACCGCGCCTTTTCCATTTCATTACGTATGTTAGAATCATTATCTGAGAATTTTTTCTCGCGAAATCGAATGAGAGCAACCTATTTCGAAGTACAAGCGGAGGCCCATTCTTAATTTAGCATTTTAGAGCGTTGTGAAAGTTGTATAAAAATTTATTATTGTTTTTTGTATTTATAAAATTTAATATAAATGAATAAAAAAAACTGTGAGTTTCCAAATGTGTGGTATGTTCGGTATTCTTTTTTATCGGTGATTTGTCGATTTTATATAATAAGTATATCCTTCATCTTTGCATGCATACACCCGCCTTTTCCTGGAATTGATCAAAATTGAAAATTGATACATATAAGTCATATAAAACGTAGTAATTTACGTGAAAGTCAACAAATCCGGATTTGCATTGAACAAAAGTGCAGCTCAATGCAACGTGTTGCATACATTGCGGGCATCGAGCTCACTTATTTTCGCTCCGAGAGATTTCGTGCGTCAAGCAAGGGATTGATGTCGGGATCATTAATTGCAATGATTTTTTTTAATATATATGAGATAACATCGTTATCAGGACGGCGTAACACTATAATAAAGCGAATTAAGCATGGCATAGAATGCCATTTTTTTAAGGATGCCTAACGCCGTGTGTTATATGCGTTTGTGTGTATACAATGATTGAGATACTCTTTCTTCGATTAATTCTGATGCAATGCACAAAAGTCACGAATGACACGAATTACTAGACTATATGCAGGACTATAATTTAACGGAGTAGTTATGATTCGCGACTCGCTTTTATGCAGTTCAAAATTCCTCGAAAGAAATCAATGTCTCAATTTCATGATCAATAACACCAAGTATATATAGTTTCACGATCGACACTATATAAATTGACAATATATAGTATAGTACATTGGCGATTTTGACGATAGTGAACAAATAATATAAATTTACCTTATATCTTGACGAGAACATATTTATACCAAATAATTTTAGCCGAAAATGACTCGGATTTTGATATAGTTCCGGAGTCGGCGCGCAACAAAAATACTTAACAAAAATCCATAAAATCAGCTTAAAAAAAAAAACATAAACGAGGAAAAAGGCTAAAACCAGCTGTAGTGTTTTTCTATCATTTTTTATATATTATTCATGATTGCCGAATACCATAAATATTTAATGAAAATAAAAATAAGTTGCTCGGGCGGCGCGGCGCACGTTTCGTTAAGATCTCGCGCGCTTTCTCGTCTTATAGTAATCGAAACTGTGAAATTGTCAGTAAATAATGGCTATAATTCCAATAGGGAAGATTTCAAAATAACGAGTGCTTGTTGAATCTTTCTATCGTTGCGGTTGCCAAGATATAAGCGTTTAATGAAAATAAAAAATTGCGCCGCTTGGCGCCCAAAAATTCTTAAGATTTTGCGCGCTTTCTCGTCTTAATAAACGGAAATAAATAATTGCCAGTAATAAAAGTGAGCAAATCTAATAGAGTAGAGCACGATCTAAAAAGTGCTTTTTGAATCATATCTTTCTGTCTTTTACGATTGCCAAGATATATAAACGTTTAATGTGAAAATGATGAATGCGGCGAGGCGCGCGATTCTTTCGGCCAGCTCGCGCTTTATTGCTCGAAAGTACATAATTGCGAGTAATACAATTGAGTAATACCAATAGGGCAAAGTACCAAGTACAAAGTCTTTTTTTAATCATCTTTCTATCATTTACGATTGCCGAGATATGCGCGTTTTATGAAAGTCAGTAGAACTCAGAAATCATTTGGCGCCCGATCTTTACGGCACGCGCGCCCTTATCATGTAAAATAAACGGAAGGACGTAATTGTTGTGATAGACACTGGACTAATCTCAAGAAATACGCTCATCTTATCATTGCCATGTGTTCTTTAATGCGAAACATACTGTATCAAACATGATTAAATGATAAAAGGTTTTAGAATGTTGTTGCATATATAATGCAAGCCAGCGAGAAAAAGGCCGTACGAGAGAGAGAGAGCCGTTGTAATTCACTCGGCGAGAAAGACAGAGCGTCGAAAATGCGACAAACGACACTAAACAAATCTCGAGAAATACATTCATCTTATCATTGTTATTTATCCTTTAATGCGAAGTATATTCTCTCGAACAAGATTAGACGATAAAGAGTTATAGAATGCTGTTGCATAATGCTAACCAACGAAAAAAAGGAAACTATACGAATGCCGTCGCTCGTGTTCGGCAGGGAGACGGTCCGAAATGCGACGAACGACACGGGACCAAGAAATACATTCATCTTATCATTATTGTCATGTGTCCTTAACGTGAGGCTCTCTCGAACAAGATTGAACGATAAAGATTGTGGGGAAAGGGAGGAGTTATATATTTTATTGTTCCTAAAACGTCATAAGCTATACAGTATTAAAACATCAAATGATCGCAATCTGAAAACATTTACATAATGAAAAAATGCGATAATACGGATAATACACAGTGCAATACCATATCGCCGTACGTGCAAGATCTATACATAACAAGAGCGAAAAACAAGTGTAAAATGTGATCTCTTTGTTCTCGATTAACAAACTAAAATTTCTCTTTTTTTTCCTTTTATATCCACCCAACCCAGTGTCAGAAATATCTTCTCTGTAATAATCAGAAGTGCATAATTCGTATAAAATATTCGTATCTTAAATAACAAATAACAAACTTAACGCGGGATCCCCTGCTTTGGGAGAGGATAGACGTACGCAAATATAGAATCAAATTTAACCACAGTATATAATAAAAATGGAATCTTCCGCTTAACTTGACGAATATACTCAACAAATACAAATCCTTCAGAATTACGAAAATCCAATGATGTTAAACATTTAATCATTCGTATTTCAACTTTAATACACTTAAAAAAATATTATTTCCTTTAATAATAACTGTAGAGTAGAATTTGTTTAACACGAAAAATCAAAGCGTAAGATAATTTCATTTATCGAGTACACTTAGCCTATACGAATTTCGAAAAGATTATAAGATTGTGGAAACCTATAATAAATATTTATCAATATAAGCTATCACGACGATTGTATACATGATTCGTAATACGTTATTTCCTTAACACACACGCTTGTTTTTAACACCAAACAGTAGAGGAGACCGAGGCTAAAACGTCTACGGGGTAAATACGTCTAATCAAATATCTCGGAACCTGTATATACTTATTGTGCGAACTCGCTATTAACATTGTAAACGCTGCTTATGGCACCCATGTGACCAACGGAATTTCGGCAGGTTACCTGCCGTGTTATGATTTTTACAAGGGCAAACGTGTTTTCGAAAGGTGAAAGTGAAATTTTCTGCGCGTGGAAATTTTGTAATATCTGCAATACTTAATATTTGCTTTCCAAATCTCGAGGTACGTGATTATAAAGAGTAATGCATGCTGAACACGAATCCAGTGTAGTTTTTTCATTATCGTTGATGTCTAATATTTCGTGGAAGTTCCAAACTTGAAACTTGTGTTTGGGGCTAATCCGTCTGTAAGCACCCGGGGCTAATCCGCCTGTCTCGTCACTGTGGCGCGCCGGGCGCACGACTTCAGCTCACGGCGATTTCAGGTTAGGTTTCCCTCGAGCGTGAAGCGTGAAGCGGGGAGCACACACTTCTGCACAACGCATAATGCGTAAGCATAAGAAAACTGATTGGTCCATATACATGTGCATAAGAAAATAGACCAATCAATTTTCTTATGCTTACGCATTATGCATTGTGCAGAAGTGTGTGCTCCCCGCTTGATGCGTGATTCTGTCTTCCCTTGCACGTGCATCAGTTTGTATAGGAGGGAAATGGTACGCACGTATCGTCGCAAAACGGGTGTTTTGGCCGACCAAAAAGATGGCGGACCGTTGTTTTCGAGATCGCTCGCGCTCACGGCACGTCGGCGAGGTACGGCGAGGCACGGCACGGCTCTGAGATTCCGCGATTTCCGCGCGAGAGTTGACATGCCGCGCGCGTGGTAGATCGTCGTTGTTGGTCGTTGTGTCAGTGTCAGTGTAGTGGTGGTGGTGGTGGTGGTGGTCGTGGCCGTCATCGTCGTCGTCGTCGTCGTCGTCGTCGTTGTCGTTGTGGTGGTGGTGGTGGTGGTGGCCGTCGTCATCGTCGTCGTGCGCTCGTCAGGATCTGTATTCACGTGCCTAAATTGTTTTATGGAATAGGTAAAAGAATTATTTTTTAATAACATTTTGCATAAAAATGTTAAATAAATTTTTACATTTTTTTCTTAAAAAACAATTATTAAAATGTATCCTATTATTTTTCAAGATTAGATATACGTATATGTATTAAAAATGCAGTGTGACGGTTTAGCCCCGGCATTTTTGAGATTTCAATTTTTCCACCGTCGTTTTTGCTCTATACCGGTTAAACAAAGCGACGTAGACAAAAATTTCCTATATAAATTTTGTAGCTAAAGGTTCACTCTTTACAGTGGTATACCACATTTAACTACAATTATTTATTTTGTTGTTAAAAATCGGCACTGAAAAAAAAACGGACGGTTTAGCCCCGGTCTCTCCTACATTGTGAAGAATTTTGCGCGCAACGTTTTGCGGTAATTAACGCCCCCGAAATATTTTATTAAAAATAAAATATTAAATAAACGATGTTCATCAAAATGACTATAAAATCGTCAACTATTATACAATACATGTAGACAGATGTTTCATAAATATTTTCAGATCTTTAATAACGTCGGACGTGACAGACCCATGTGTACATTCCAAAGGTGCAAAAAACCGTTTACAGGCGAAGCCCCGGATGTATTGATAGCCAGTTCCCGGGGCGCCTCCACAAGCGCAGTGAAGGACACCCGTGAGGTTTTGGTGGGTAGGCTGCGCGTACCACTTGCGACACGCGTAGAGCCGTAGAATGTAGAATCCCACACTCATCCCCTCGTTCCTCTTCCCGGAGGGTGAGGGGGGTCTTCCCCCTTGACACCGGGGGACTACTGGGCGTAGCCTGGTATAGTTGAAGATTTCCTCACGTTAACCCTTCGCCCGTAAACTATAATTTGACTGGCATCGTCCGTAATCTGGGTCATAAATGTCCTGTCGTTATTTTGACCTAGTAAATAGTGTTCAAAAAATCTGAAAAAATTCTGTAATACTTGTATACTATCCTATTTTATAATCCCAAAGTTTATTTAGCGATTCATTATAAGATAAATTGTTTATAAATAATTCTTTATGCAAAAAATTGATAAAAATCCATTTTTATTAAAAAAATCATATCTCATTGAGTTTTAAATCAAAATAAAAAATTCCAACGAGGTTTTATAGTTAAATATGTGTACTTTCAAGAAAAAAATTCTGTATATGGGTCATTTTTAAAAAGTATAATTATTCTGAGGATTGAAAATGGCCTTTTTCGGGTTAAGGAGAAATAAGACTTTTAACGTAATTTTTACATTATTTTATTAAAAAATCATATAAAATCGTCTTTCTCGTAAATAATATCTGATATTTGTCGCTTGATCATCCATTGTACCCTGAAAGTACATGTAATTTCTTTTTACACGTGTTTTCATCCACTCAAATTTTGAGGTTATAGGTATATATAATATACACAATCATAAAAAAATATCACTTATATAAGTTAAAAATAACTGTAGTAATATGAAAATGACGTTAAATTAATTTTACTTACTTGCACGAAAGTCTGGCACTGTCCGTAAACTGGGTCAATAGTGGCACTGGACGCACTTTGACTCGCTGCTGGTCAAGCACACACTGGCGAATTCCAACGAAACTTTGGGCATGAGTTCTTCCCACTACCTACTTTTTTTACGAGGGACGGCAAGCCCCCCCTCCCTTTTCATTTCGGCGGTATTCTATCTTGAATTTCGGCTTGTGCCATTTATGACCCAGTTTACGGGCGAAGGGTTAAAAAAAAAAAGTTTACAGGCGAAGAGATTAGATTTCTTTGAGACATACGTGTTGTGCAGGTACAGGTTGCAACAAAACATCTTCCTAAAATCTATCACCATTTCACAACAAAAGATATATACTATATAGTCATATAACAATTCAGAGAGAGATAGAAAGAGAAAAATATATACATATGTATATACTATATATGTATGTATGTTATCGACTCTTTGTGGACAATGGACACATCATGTTACCCACTGAAAAGTGAACATGTGGCGTAGCCTAGCATGGCTTTTAGCAGTTACATCCAAACAGCAGCTGATAAGGGCGCGTTGGCCCGTTGGCCGCCTTCAGGCTTCTTTCTGATATATCAGCATTCAGCAATTAATTTCAAAACATTCCAAAACAAAGTCATTACAAACAATAGTGTGTAGTGTGTACTTTGATACTTAAGTAGCGTAACAAGACGACTCAATCATATTACATAAAATTGGTCGAATTGACCAATTCGAAAGAAGGCAAGAACCAGAAAAGAAGATAGTTGTGCAGGAAGAGAGAAATTGGAGGTAGAGAAAGTGTATTTGAGTTAATTAAGAAGAAAAATTGGTTTTAATTGAGCATAAAATACAATTTTATTAAGAAAATACGAAGGATAATCTAGAAGACTAAAGTTACTTACAGTAGATTGGATACAATAAGATGAGCGCTATATAACCTAACTTAACCTAACAGAAGGTTGAAGATGCACTTGAAAAAACAAATAACAGAAGATGGAACAAAGAATCAAGTAACAGGATGCGAAGGATGAGAATGTAAAGATAGCCTGGAATATAATATTCGTGTGTTTGTTGTTTATCGTATTAAAAAGCTAAACATTTTTCTTAATAATTACAACTATATATATTAATAACAGTTTTCCTGTGAAAATTTTTATCAAGTATTTGCTTATTACTATAAACACGACAAAATGGGAGGTGGAGATTTGGTAAGTCTGTTATAATTTATTAAGATTAAAAAACTATACAAAGTTAAGTGTGAAACTTGCCGTATTTTTTAAATAACATATATATGTATATAACTTTACAGAATTTGAAGAAGTCGTGGCATCCATCTACTATGAAGAATAAGGAGAAAGTAAAGAAGGCGGAGCAGCAAAACTATCAAGAGAATAAAAGGATAGCCGAGTTGCAGAAGGAGATTGAAATGGAGAAAGACCTGGAGGACATAAAAAAGTATGCTATTGAACAAGGAGTGATAGAGAAAAAGGATGATAAGAAATTAGACTGGATGTATAAAGGACCAAATCAAATGGTCAACAGAGAAGAATACTTGTTAGGAAGACCAGTTGACAAGGCTTTTGAGCAAATGCAACGGGCAGAAAAAGATACAGAGATGAATAGGATGCCAAAAAATCATGTTGAATATGGTAAATAAATATTTTATATATATATATATATATATGTATATATGCACCTGGTGATTCAGAACACCCGTGCCAACCATTTTTTTTCAAAAACGTGAAAACTAGCACGAAAATATGGGCTGTCGAAAACCGTTCAATTCAGTTTTCTCAACTGTTGACACCGATATAGCTCACAATCTTAACAGTCGGAAACATTACGGTGTTTACAGTTAAAAAAACTACTGTGAAAACATTTTGTGCACTTGTAAATTATTGCAGGTATTTACACATTCGAACGTTTTTCTCGAAACCTGTAAGAGATAATTGAATTAAGTTTTAGTAAAAAATTCTTTTTTAAAGCTCTATACAACGATACCCCACTCGACCCATGTTCCTATTTGAAATTTCAAAACTGATCAGTCACCTACTTTCGGTTTGTCCTGAAGAATAAAATCATCACCAATAATTACTTTAGGTGCTCATTAGTAATGAAAAATGTTTTCCTAACTTGTTACATTAAAAAAAAACGACTGGCACGGTTGCTCTGAATCTGAATCATTCGGTATGTACAACAGTGTTGAAAAAAGATTGTATCAAATTTTAGAAATATGTAGTACTTGTGAAAACAAACCGAAAAGTTTTAATAAGCATTATTTCAAAAATCATTTCTTAGTTATACCGAGTACCACCTTTTTTCCTTACCTTGTACATGTAGATATGGATGCATGAGTAATTATATACACCTTATATATTTATATCATATGAAAGTATGTAATATATTATGTATATTTTTTATATGATATTAGAATGCATTCCACCTTCGTTGCGATTTTTTTCTGGCAACGAACAAGTGGATCTGGCTAGAAAAATACAAGAGGATCCTCTATACACCATAAAGCAGAAAGAAATGGAGACTAGAAATCAGCTTTTGAAAAATCCTGTTAAATTAAAACAACTTAAGGAATTAGTAAGTGGATGTTGATATATTTACTTTCTTGTATTTTGTTTATGTTGAATACTCACTTACACTTATGTAATTTACGTATATAATTTTGTAGCTGGAGCAACAATCGAGCAAGAATAAAAGTCGAAAGAAGAAAAAGAAATTAAAGCATAAAGATAGTAGTGAGGATGAGGCTAAATTGGATATTTTGTTAGCCACTAAATTTAAACAATTGAAAGACAACATCAGTGAAAAGGACTTGCTGAAATCAATGAAAAAAATAAAGCGTAAACAAACAAAGAAGTCAAGAAAGCATTATGATTCTGATAGCAAAACGGACAGCAGCAGTGACGATACTTTTGTTAAAAAAGAGCGACGCAAACGACGAAAAAAGCGAAAGAGAAGTACAAGTGATAGTGACGACAGTACTAATAGTAGCAAAAGCATCACTAAACATGAGAAGGAAGATAATAAAAAGGAACATGATAGGAAATATTCGAGAAACGACACAAAAATAGATGATAGTAAAAAACAAGACAGAAAAAGAAAATTGAGTGAAGATAGAAACCCGAAGTATGAGAGAAGTAAAAAGCGAAGAGAAGAATATGATACGAGCAGTAAACGGCAACGATATGACAGTAATAGACCAGATTGTTCAAGAAATAAATACAATGATAGAAAAAGATACTCAGTGGAGAAACAAAACGATAAATTGGTGAGTGAGAAAGTTTTTAATTTCTAATGATGCAGGTTTTATAAATGGATAAATAATACATAGTTTCGCCTTGTATTAAAATAGGCTTTTACACTTTTAAGAGGAAAAGATATGAATTTTTAATGTATAATTGGTGCAAGATAAAAATATCTTGTTTATGTTAGAATTTAGAGTTCCATAAATTAAATTAAAATTTTGATCTCACAGATATCTAATAGCAAAAGAATATCGGCCGTTAAATCTGTCTCTAATACTGATTATATTAAATTTAAGGATAGAAACGAAGAAAAATATAGGTCAAAATCAAGATCAAGTCTTACCGAGGAAGAAAAGGAACAACGGCGAAAAGAGATGATGGCAAACGCAGCGTGGCGTGATAAAGAAAGAGAGAAGAATGTAAAAACATACCGCGAGCAAGAGAAGAAAGAAGATCAAAATAATGCATTGTACAATAAGGATTTCATCAGGTATGTATTAGACATATTTCGCATTCAAATATACATTTTTTGGTATAGATTTTTTCATGAAATAGAGTAAAATTAAAACTGGATGTTTGTTGTAGAAAACAATTGATCGTCGCAACAGAAGTGGGTACCATTGCATCTAGAATTAAAGCTAATATTAACAACATACAACGTTCCAGACGAGCTATGGATACAAATTTTGCTAAAAGATGATTTTTATGTCCGATTACAAATTTTGTACAATTATAGTACTGCAATTTTTATGTGAAAGTTATACATAAATGTAAAAATATCTTGAAATATATTATTATTTGTGGGAGTAGAATTACTTTGTATTAAATCTTTGCCGGATTATTATATCGTCGCTTTATATAAACATATATTGTAATGTATACATAAAGAAATATATTGCACACAGCTATATACAATACTTTCTTGCTAACATTAAATGATCTTTCAAGTTTAGTGTCGATGATAATCGACTTATATCGTTATGTAATTTTACACATTTCTCGGTGCGATTCAATGACATCACTGGGATCAACGATGGTCGCCACGCAGCCGCCGGTAAGAACGTTGTTGACTATGGCCCTGGCAAGATATCCCGTAGTCATCGAATAATGCGCGGAGAAGAATAACGATTTTTCATCGACATTCGATAAATTGTGGTCCTGTGAACATACAGCAAATATATAGAAAAGACAAATTAACATTTACAATGTCATGTATGTACACGTGTATTACCTTGCAATACATGATAAAACTATCTTCCACGAGTTGATTGAGATCCAACTGTTTCTGGAAACTTAATTCTGGATTTCGAAGCAGAATAGTCGACATAATACTCAAGAGCTGTAATCATATAATTGGAATGAGCTATTAAGTATTTCCCTTTATAAATACTGCAATAGCTAGATTCTCACATTTCTAAATCTTACTTTTATATTTTCCATTTCTTGCGCCTACCTTTTGCTTTTTGCTTCACATTTTACAATATACAATAATTATTTTGTAATCTTTTATGAATTTTTCAATATTAAAAAAAAAATATTTCCTAAATATTATCTTCTTAATTTTTTATGCATTCTTGTAGTATTCTCTATAATTTTAATCATAAATGTATACATGTGTGTATATTTAATATGACGTTGTTTCTGTTTAAGTTTATTGCGCTCTATTTTATGTACATTTAACATGTTTCGAGTATATAAATGGAAAGAAACAGAAAAGGAGATATAAAAAAAATCGATCGCTTACTTCGACTATAATTTGACGATATTCCGGTAGCTGTATGTTATGCAATAATGATTCCACAAGTAGGGCAAATGTGAGCTCAGACCGAGTCATGATGGACAATGTGGTTTGCTGAGGAAGTTCCTGTCCGTTCACTACAATACCGCCAGGACAACGCATCAAGACTTCCCATACTTGATTGTAGAAATGTGCCGGCACTCTACACAAGCAACCTTCGATTTTTCGGCGACCGAGCACCGTCAGGCTGTTGGCAATAGATAGATATAATCAATAAACATCTATCGAAAAGTTGCAACGGGTAATTTTATTAATTATTCGACATACTTTTCCTCATGAGCCCATTCTTTTACTGTCAGTACTTTAATAAGAATCTGTCGAACTTCATAAGGACTATAATTCTCAATCGGTTTATCATCTTTCACAAACATCTGCAAGTAAAGCTTCATTGCCTCCAAGACCCACCTAGATATTTGAACAACAGTTAAATATTTTCGTGTAGCAAGGATTAAAAAGTGTTATTGAAAAGTAATGTACCCGATGCGTATTTTTAATATGCCTTTGAACCACTCTGGATTAGTACCGATAAGTCGACCGCAATACAACAGAATTTCTTGTTGGAGCACAGCCTGCACTGTGTTGTGCGGCTGTATCGTGGAATACATTACCGACTGTATTTCCGCCGGCGTCATGGGCTTGTCGAATACAGTTTCTTTCTGCCCAATCACTCCCACCGCGATCTGATACCATTAACAATATACTTCAAGAGTTAAAAAATCGAATTTAGAGATTATACGTATGTAATACCTGTTTTCCTTTAACTAGCACACCCGTGATAAAAGGGCTGATGCTGTCTACTGTGTGATTCAACAGACTGCTACAATAACGTACGGCCATCCAGAATCTTAAGGATCCAGCTTGTTGATATAGTGATCGCAAATAATCACGAACTGAAAAATGATAAAAATATGCGGTAGGACACAAAAAGTGGGCACAATCGTGAAGATCATCATCTTCACGATTTTTTAAATGAGAGATGGTCGAATAAGGGAAGAAGAAAGAGATAAAATACCTGTCACTCCATTAATTTCGTAATTAATTCCTTCTCGTTTTATCAGAATCCCATATAATTGACACTTGGCATACAAGCCGACGCTATTGCGAAGTTCGTTTAATATGTTGCCAAGAGATTCATTTAACATAGACTGAAAAATAGATTACCGGTTGCCGGTTACGGACGTTTTCGTTCGATTAGGAATTTAAGTGTAGTGTCTTTATGATTTCGTACAGAATAGTCCTTGACGCTTTCGGAGTAAGCGATGGCCTTTGGGACGTCCGTGAGACTCTGATAGCCAATATAATCATGCTGCAATTGTCTAAACTGGGTCAAGTCCAGATTTGTTTCCATAGTATTTACGAAGTCCAAGTGCTCTGTGCATAATCAACATAAATTTTACTATTAATATCATATGCAATGCGCGAAAGAATAGTCTAATCTTACAAAAAAAAAAAAAACCTCCACGTAAATGTCTCTCTTCCGAGTTTGATGAATTCTTAATATGTTGTATTCTAAATCAAAATAAGACACGTATACTTAAAACCATTCAACTTTTATTTTAAAAAATTTCTTTCTATTCTTATAGTTTCAGCGATATTTGCTAAAAAAAAATAAATAAATAAAAATGTTTTATTACCTAAACATGGTAATTAAACATGTATAAAAAAGTAAGTGTTCTTTATCTAATCTAAAATACAACATTTTAAAAGTTCATCAAAATCGAAGGAGGATACTTACGTGAGATTCCTTTTTAGAAGAAACAATTCAATAAATATCAACTTTTATTTCTTTTTATTAATCAGAAGATATAAATGTTATTAATTATGGAATAGTTATATATTCCATATATATTTTATTACTATAAAAAAATATCAACAAATATTAAAATCATTATTTGAAAGATTACGTTAAACTCTGATGCAAAACTTGCTAACATTAAAACCGAACTAGTTTTTCATGAACTACCTGCTTTATGCAAAGATTAATTTTATATAAAATATTACCGATACAAGAAGATGAAATCAGATTTTGCAGTCGGCCAATGCGTACTTTCGTCTTATCACAGTAGCCTTTCTTCAACATCGCAAAGAGGTCTAACATCTTTTTAAATTGCGGATCTCTGAACAAATTTTTGTCAAGATAAGCCAACTTTCGTGACTCATTCATAAATGTGCAAACTTACCGCATGTGTTCCTCCCGTATCAAAAGACATACGGTGGGTCGACCAGAAAGACGCCAATACTTGCCTACGAATTGCAATTCCGTTTTGATATCGTCGATCAGCAGAGCCATGTCTCTGTATAAATAAAACTCGGACACTTCGAAGATCAATGGGTAACAGAGCACTGTCATACCACAGACTCTATATATCTGCACATGCAAAAGAATTCATACATCAATATTATTTTACATATTATACGATAAAATATATCATTGAATACAAGCACAAGCGCTTATTATTTATTTTTTTTTTCAGGAAAAAAATATAAAATTACACATACCTTGCTTGTACCTAAAGAGCCTATTGGCCGTGCGGGTCGCCCTTGGAGATTCAACTTCTTGTTCACGCCTAGTTTTTGATAAACCTTTACTAACTGGGTGGACGACAGAATCTGAACGGGCTCAACTTCGTGCGGCGTTTGCGTCTGAATACCATATGTCGCCATCATGGCTTGCAATCGCATAGATTCCGCGATCAGAACTATCTGTACTACTAGGTCGGTATGAGTGCCCTGGTATACAAAAATACAGCAGTGTTCATAAATCACATGCAGTAGGAAAATATTTCTGGAGTCATATCATAAAAAAAATAAACAGTCATATTTTTTAATATTAATTAGCGTGTATGTAGCTTTATAAGGTTGTGACAAGCTTAAGATATGAGATAAATAACAAACTGTAAACAAAAAACATTTGTTAGATACTTTTCTACAATATCACATGCTGAGTTATTATAATAATGTATAATACATCAAAAGATAGAAAATCATGCATAGAAAGAAATGCACGTTACATTATACTATCATATCAGCATTATCAGAGCAGGCATATACTTAAAATTACTTACAATAGTGGGCTTTGCCTGTGTAGAACATAACAAAAAAATTATAAACTTTCGATCTCTAGTTATGAAAATTAATAATCATAAAACAATTAAATATCTTTCAAAATCAATGAGTCAGTACACACAATTTGTTTTAAAAAGTTATAAAATGCGTTACTTAATTTCAGAAAGAAGGCGTATAGAATTAAAGAGATAAATTTCTATTTTTGGAATTTGGTATGACTCAACTCAATGAGATTTTGGACGATAATTGATTACTACATGTATGAATTTAAGATATAGAAATTATATATTTGATATATATATATATATATATATATATATATATATATATATATATCTTCTTCTCTTTTACCTGGAAAGCCGAATATCTTCCTGCTCGCCTCGGACGATTATATGATGGAAGGTATCGACGAATCGGATCTAATTCGTTGATATGTAAAAGACCAGCGGTGAGTAGCTGTGCAATTACAAACATAGCTTGATTCCATAGGTATATCGGTGTAGCTTCTTGATCCGCAGCCTTAGTACCTCTCCCTTCCTCGCTGGGTAGCCGATAAGCGCCGCACGGGTCGTTCCTTTCAGTTTCCAAATTTTCCATGGGTACATAATAACACATAGGGATCACCGGATCTATATCATGCAGAATAAATCTTATTTATGTCGATTCGAAATTATACAATTATCGAAGATGATTTACAAGACATTGCCTGCGTTACAGGTATTGTTTGGATAAAGTTAAAGATGACATTATTTATCAATACCTCCATTCAAATCCTTGTAGACTCTCGCTTTCAATAAATTTTGATATTCTTCCACTTGTTCCGTCAAACTCTTGAATACACCATCTATTATCATGAAGATATAAAACAATGGCCATTCACACTCGATGTTGTCGAAATCCTGTTAAAATAAAACATCAATTACACTTTATAAAAATTTGTAAGTCAGTTTCTCTGCGACAAATGCTGTAAATTTTAGAACCTTGATCTCTCCAGATTTGTAATATCGTCGCTGTTTGTCCTCCAGTACGGTTCTATAACCGTCTCTTCCGAATCGTTTAAAACCATAATTGCCTTTTAGTCTGCGGACTATATTCGCTTTTGTTTCGTTGTACAACACTTCTTCGTGAGTTGCAAAAGCAGGGAAAGATATTGTTGGCAACAGAGCCGCGTCTACACTCTATAAATTACGTATCTTTGTAAAAATTGGTATGAGCATTTTACGCAAATGAGATTGCTTACTTTTGAACTGGACTCTCTTGGAAGCATTGTCTCGAAAATACTACGATTACGATTATGAGCATCAATATCGACGTATATTACAGACCAAGATGCACCTTTCTCACCGAATAAGTTACAGCCATTAATCGCCTCCAACGCGCTTTTCGCAATTCCAATGGAACTGGCGTGAATCTCGGGCGTTCCATCGTTATATCGACTTCCACGTTCCCACATACCATAATCCGGTGTACGGTATGCTCTCTCGACATAATATACTAGATTTTGTACAAAGGCCACTTCGTCTTGTATATATATAATTTGTAGCCCAGAGGAAATCATTTGCACTAAGAATATCAAATAAAGAGATACGACGTCGATCTACATTGAACAAAGATATTCACAATATTTTTAATTGATATAATAATCATGAAGACATTATATAGACTAATGCTACATTATATCTTAATATATTTAAGTGAATATAAATTATATACATATTTCCTGTATTCACAAATTTACTAGTGTCTCGCAGAAATACATATATATGTAACAATTATTATTAAACCTGCTCACCTGCAAGTGATGATACTCAGCATCCTGGTAGACCTCATCGCCGGTGTCCAAATGGAACTTGCAGTGTAACGCAAAACGGTCACATTGATTTTTCTTAAAAAGCTCTATTCTGGAAGATTGCTTTATCCAACATTCCAAAATACCCCGCATGCATTTTATCGCGGACTGTCCCAGCTCATACGATTTTCCACGATCGTCATCTATACGTCTATATGCCTGATACAGACTCCATATAGCGGCAGCGCAGTATATACTTTCGCGGACACTGCCGACCTTCCGATCGCTCGAAATCTGTGGGAATAAGCCAGTTATGCAGCTCTGATAGCGCAGTAATTGTCTCTTGACGATTCCATAGTATATGTCCAATTGCTTGACCGTGTCCTCGTAGTTAGATATTTTGAGAAACATATCGGCGTCTATATCTATTGCACTGCCTTGTCGTACATTCCTGATCTGCGTGATTCTGCAATAAGTATGTAAGATTGATAAACCTCATTAAAAATTACTTGCATCAACCTTATTTCTCGCAATATGACAAGAGTGACAGACCTCTTTGCACTTGACGGTGCCATCAATGAACTAGCCATTTTATTCAAAATACCAGCAAGCTATTTTTGGTTTAATACACCTGTGGAAAAGCTCCTATATGTATGATGCATTTTGAAATAGATTATACTGACAGTATGGCCTTGGGCACAACAGAGCACATATTAGAAAAAAAGAATAAATATTAAATATTAGGAATATATAAATATAGGAATATTCCTGTAATAAATATTAAATATTAGGAAATATAAATGTAGAAATATTCCTATATTTATATTTTACATTTTATTCTTTTCCATTGTGCGTTACGTTTAATTATTATTTCTAATTCCGATTCCTAATATTTGATATTTATTCGTATTCCTAGTATATGCTCTATTGTGCACAGGGAATCTATATATGTTACATATGTTGTAAATTTTCAGCATAACTGTCAGTAAATTTCAGAAAGCACCTAATTATTAACAATTACATGCATTCTACATTGGCGTAACATTATACTAAACTAAAGTAATAAAAATATTATATTTTATAATTAACATTCACTTGAACAAACAACTAATTCTCCTATATTCTTCTTGAGTTTGACATTGGTTTGATGTCATTGGGTATTGGGTCATGGGTAAAGTCCTAGATAAATAGAGTCGTATCAGAGAGAAGAATTTTTCCTGGTACTACAGATGCCACAGACGACGTCATTTAATGCCCCAAAATTGGATGCGTTTCGGAAACACACTCTTTGTCTCTTTTTAACTGTCCCTCAAGAAAGAGACGGAAGGAGTGAGTTTCCGAAACGCATCCAATTGAAGATCTCCAATGGGAATGCTCAGTCTATTACATATAAATACGTTTTTGTGCAATTCACCTGACGCCACTGACGCCCCGCCCTGACGGCTGACCTGACGGGACACGTGCACACACGTGTCCACAGTGTCCACACTCCACACTCCACGTGAATTGTGACAACGATAATCTTCCCGATTTTGGTCGATCAGCAGTGAACTGCTGTGATCAGTTTACTCAAATAGTTATGCCAGATTTAGTCTATTACGATGAAGTAGAAATCGAAGATTTCGAATATGACGAAGATGAGGAGGTTTACTATTATCCCTGTCCATGTGGTGATCAGTTCCAAATATCTCTTGCCGAGTTGGCCGCCGGCGAAGTAGAGGTTACGTGTCCTTCTTGTTCACTCGTGATTAAAGTAATTTACGATAAGGAGCTCTTTCGTGCTAAGCAAGAAGAGCTCGAAAAGAAAAGCGACAAGAAAGAATTAGCAGCTCAAAAAGTTTAAGGTAAATGTAATTATTCCGTAAATTTTCCGAGATAGATAGGTTAGGATTGTATCAGGATTATCAGGAAAATCCAAAATAAACAAAAGTTGTGAGACATGAATAAACCTATGATCTATTGGTCGCCCTAAAAGTCATAGAGAGAATTATCTGTTCACATATTTATGTTTGCGTCCTTGCTTTCTCCTTCTCCTACAGTTTTTGATCTCTGCACTCGGTTAACAGAGTAATCCTAGATATAACTGTCACTTTCTTCGTATTAATTTGAAGATACAATTATGTCACGTACGTAATTATATATCAAATTTTACTCATTTCTATCCTAATCTGGCTATTGTAATTTTATATAACTTTCTTACTTTTTTATCTCTGAACGGAATTGCAATAATTTTGAACCAAAACTTAAGTTTGTTCGTAAAGCTATTTAGACAAATTGATCCAATTTGTATATGTTGTTGCACAATTTTCTTTTTTTTTTATGTTTAGAAATGTTGCATAGTTCTAATATTTTCAATACTTTACTAACACTTTTAAAATCAATTAATGATTTATGTTATATCAGGTCAGAAAGTGCTAGCAAGAAAAATGGCAGGACGTGGTAGAGGAAAGTCCACCATGTCCTTTTCCATGGAGCAATTAGGCATCTCTAAAGGAGAGACGTTGCCAGCGCCAGTTGTACAACCATCTCTACATTATCCTCAATTGGATCACAAGCCTCTACCTATTCAGCTAACCACCGAGATGAGTTACCTAGTAGAGTTGAAAAGGGATTTCACCGAGTATATGCGAGAGTCGCCGAACAACGTGCAAGCCGCTGTATTAAATGAAGATGTTGAACGATTTTGCGAAGATTTTGACGAGGCCGTCACAGAATGCGATAAATCGAAATACGAGGCATACCACGATTGGAATAGAATGCCAATGCAATTAAAACTATCGAGAAAACGAAAATCCCGCCAGCAGAGTGTAGGATGCAAGAAAAAGAAAAAGGATGTGGATATTGTGAAAAAGCTGACAGAATTGGAGGAAAAAGAAAGCGTACAGCAACCCGCGGAAGAAGAGAATAAGGAGGAAGGGAATGAAGAGGAGAATGGTGAAGGAAAGGAGATGGCAGAGCGCATAAAGGACGAGGAGGAAATAGATGAGATGGACGATGGGACTGATTACGCAAATGAATACTTCGAGAATGGCGACAATTACTATAGCGAAGACGATAACGATGATGATCAATTTTTTGACACATAAAAGTTTGCATTATGTCAGAAAATTATTTTATATTTTCATCTCAGAAATGTCAATCTGTTTTCGGGACTCTTAATACTGACAAGCTACCTCGAATTCGATTTTACTGTATCATGTAAAATCTTTATTATTTGTAATCAAACTGTTGCTTGGTAATTTTGTATAGTATGATTGGTTGGAGAAAAGCAGATTAATGCGCAAACTCGGCAAAAATTGTGTGACTTATTAAATATAATACATATTGAATAAGTATAATATTGGTTATTGTTTTTATTTCTTGTTTCTCCTATTTGCGCGTTGGAACAGATTCTCCATCGCATAGGTTTCGAATGTCAAATATAATGATGAGACGCTAACACGTTTATTGGATTTGGCTTTTCTTCACTATCTTTTCATTATTGATGAGGAAGGGAAGGACTCGTCCTAGCATACGGATATAATTCGAAGTAAGAGGCACGCAGCATGACGATTAAAATAGTCTGGAAATCACAGGAAGCGTCGGCGTGTTTTATTATGAGTATCTCACAATTTCTAATATATAATATATTTATACATGTAATATATAGCCATAATCTGATGCAGTTGTAATAAATGACCCTTTTTTATGACGCAAATGGTTAGTATAAACGCAATATTTCTTGGGATGAATAAGTGAGGAGATCGAAGAGAGAGGAGAAGGGAGCTAGCAAAAGGATGAAGGAATGGTGTGTAGTGGCAATACGCACTGTATTGTTTATAATACTCGTTATGCAATGCATATCTTATTAAGTTTCGATACGAGATTTATCTTTCCCGTTTATGTACATATATATATATTTTTTTCCTTCGTTTTCAGAATGAATCGTTGTTCGCGAATTATGCGCTTCAAAGATACGTGCGTTATAAGGATGAAATAAAAGTTAAATTACGGAGAGAAAAACTTTCCTGAGCTTCCAGTCGCTGGACCATTCGTTGTCCTTCAAAATCGAGTCCATGATCAGAGAATCTCGTCTTTGGATTATTGAAAGGCCCAAATCCTTTTTGCGATACACAATTTTGACAGGGAACGAAAAGTTTCTCTTTCGCTATACGCGATAAAATGATTGCACATAAGTTTAGAGCATTATGATTTGGCAGGCATTGATAAATCGGATGAGCAATTTTCTTCGTTGCAATTTTTCTTATCGAAATTTCGGAACTCTGTTCGACTGACAATGAGCCAAGTTGTACTAAGTTGCAAAGTCTAACAAAATGCCTGAATATTATCACAAACGATTCAAATTTTATCTACCTTTACCTACAATGAAACCGTATATCTTGCATGTGGAAAATTTATGCGTGCAAAAAATAAATACTATATTTGTTAATATTCGTTAGTTAATTAATAATTCAACTATAGAAAATACAAATGTTTAAAAATATCTGGAATTATAATAAATTGTATTGTAATATGAAAATTTATGATACATTTTATGTGCTCAATATTCTCCTCTCTCTCTAACAATAGTATAATAACACAAACTTCTATGTCATAAAAAGTGGAGCGTCTGCGACAATCAGCTGATGGCAACAGGTATCCCACATTATAAGCGTCTGACGTTGAGATCGTTGAGTCGCGCCGCCCTGCTTGCTTGAACCCGATCCGTGATAAGCGGATTATTTTTTTTTATAATTCAAAAACTAAGCTTTGAGTAAAGTTTTGGAAAAGGAAAAGTCACCTCAGAATTAAGTGAGAAATACAATATTTCAAGGACAAAGATTTGTTCTAAATCACCTTGTATTGATTATAGGCAGAGCAGAAAATCAGTTACCTTGGTGATCATGCACTCAGCGTACAATGCCTGAAAGACGTTGTAAATACCCCGACAATTAATTATGTAACTGAGTATTGAGATTATGTAGTTGATTATGTATTTGAAATATATTTACATTTGAATTCTTCAGATTTCTCATTCGTACAATCCTACGACATGTCATTTTCCATCTATAACATCTATCAGCAAAATCGAGTTTTTTCGTAAATGACGTTAGGTTCTTCGGAACATCTTGTTTTTTCTTGAAACTTCCTCTCTAACACTTTCGCTCAATTAGCAGACGGTATGCAATTCGTATCCAGCACTCTAACTCCGTTGCGATGAAAAGCTGTCTTGCTAAGCGATAAAAATTCATATTTTCAATATGATTATTCATTTTCCTTCTACGTACTTTCGTCAACGGAAAAGAGAATATAGCGAGAACATAGAATATATTTTACGGACTACGTATAGTCCGCTCGGACAGCCTTTTCACGGCTTTCCTTATCTAAATAATGGAAAAGTCAAGCTCGTTATATGTAAAGCAATATGGGAAGAACAATGGTCACAAAAAGAGCAAAATGAGAATGTTATAGTATACCTATAGTTAGGTAAAAAAAATGGAGAGTTATATCTCTCCATTTTTTTTACCTAACTATATTTCTAATCTTTATTTCTGACAATAAATCTTTCACTTCCACACACAGGACTTTACATTCGTCTGGATTATAAGTTTCTAGAACTTTATTTAACAGCTTCACCGGATAAAAAATTTTTTTATTGATATATTGGACTAACACATTCTCACCTCCAAATGAAGAATAAATTTATAAACATCTTTTTTAACTATCAACTTTTATTAATTCGTTGGTTTTTCTGTTTGCGATTTAACGTTTAAATATCTCAATTTTTATACGCGCGACGATGTTTCTGATCTTTGTCGCGGCCTTTATTGACCTAGGCTTATTTTGGTTTTTTATTTTAAATTTAAACTTTTTTAATTTATGTCTTCTGTTTTTGTATATATTATGTAACTTCCGTTTAATTGTTAGCTTTTTTATTCTTTACTTTTTGCTTTTATTTCTCATTTTATATAATTAATTTTATTTTTGTGCTGAAGAAGACTTATATTAGTACAGTCGAAACGTTTACATTGTTTTCTTAAGTATCGAAAAATAAACTATAGATCGCTTCAATTATAACTCCTTATTTGCTCGTATTATGGCTAGGTATTGAGTATTGACTTTCCCATATTGCTTTCCTTATCTACATTTTCATCACGATAATCACGTGTGCTTAGATTAGAATACGAAAAACCGTGTGTTCGGAAACGAGAATAACATACATTCATAGCATACGTAATTAGCTAACTAATGAGCGCATGAGTCTCTCATGCTCCGTTGGCAACTTCCGACACAGAAGGTCTTATCGTTTGTAAATCTAGAAAACGATATCTCGCAGTTTGATATTTTAATTTTAAGAGGGACTTACAAATAAATTTATCGAATCGATTGGAATGGCTCAATATTAAGGTGTTATAACGATGAGGACGTTAGATACGACGGATGTGATATATTCGTCTTTGCTTTTGGTCGTTTTGGACAAGTGGGAAATGTTCGTTTCTTAGATCGAATCGCAATCTAACTCATGCGATGTAACGTTCTGAAAATCACAGAACAGGTCAGCTTCTCGGGTACTCGGGCGGGCAGTGTAAGCTTGCTTACTTCTGAAATACTTCGTCAACGTTTGAGAAAAAAACGTCGGTTACAAACCGCTTATATATAATAGATGGTTTCAATAGCTTTACTTATGTCGAATCACCACTGCGAAATAAAAAGCAGAAACACCTGCCTCATTTGAATCGAAAAAACACTTTTAAATTAAATATCGCTGTCGTATTTTAAGATGACGATCAGCTCTATAGACCGGCTTACGAGAAAGAGAAATCTTAAATAACGTGAAGTAGTACAAGATAAAGTTAATTGAAACAAAATAAAAAATGTATATAGAGTATAATAAAAACATTTATTTTCAATATTTTTGTGATAGTAAATTTATTGGTATTTATTAGAAGGAATTTGTAGTGATAAAAGGACTTTCTGTCTCTGAATTGATTAACACTTCTTATTGAACAGATCAGCGTGAGCAAAGCTAACGACACAACGTTCAACCCGAATGCCAAGTGGGTGTTCGCGATAAAGGGTGCAAAAGAGCAATAATCGCATTGGAATCGCATCGGCATTATCGGCAAATGAATTTGGGGTCGCAGCTAGCCCTTTCATCATCACTCGAATGATATTGTGAAGCGTTCGTGTCTGTGGTATAATAATCGGTGACGATGACAATTCCTATCAGGGAAAATTGAAAATCCAAATGAAAGAAAACGACATTTAAAGGACGCCGTGACACATTTAAAAGAGTTGTTCCAATCTTTTAATCTTTTCTTTGGATATACCTCGGACGTCCTTTAGATGTCTCTTGTGCAATTTTAAAAGGGACAAGTCGTCGACATTTTGTTCGTATATAAGTAGCGGGAGAATTGTCTTGAGTTTCACGAATCGGAATCGCGCGACTTATTCTAGGTATCGTGCTTTTTTATTTATTTTTTCTTCAATTCAATATTTCGCTAACAATTCTTTCAACGTTGAATAAGAATACTTAATTCCTGCGTTATAATTCGCGACATCGAAAGCCGAAAGGCAAAGGTACAAAAGAGATCACACTCTCACTCAATGAAATGTTTGAGTAATCCATCGCATTCCTACATGTTAAGTAAAAAATTATTCTCTGAATGAAAAATTAGGCCAATCTTTTACGCAATGGACTTTCAGCGGGAAGCGCTACTGTGCGATTCGTGCAGATGTAATGTGTCCTCATATGGTTTTCAGATTTTTTCATATTCTCCAAATAACTTCGGAATTATTGAGTGAGAAAAATAAAATATTAAATATTAAAAGCAACAAGCGCTGTAAATATTTTCCATTTGTGGACGTTTATACATATAAAAGAAAAATTTAAATCACAAAAGGGAGATTTTCGACGATGCGTCTCTCTCCATGAAACACCAGATATAAATATAATTGTTGTTGTTTGCAATTGCGAATGCTAAAACGGACGTAAGAAAATTAAATGAAATTGAAACCAAAACTTTATTCTTTTATATTGCATCGTGATATAAAATCTGGGACTCACTGATCGATTTGAAGCTTCCATAACAGCTAAATCTTTAGATGCGCTGGATGAAACTTGTCCTACTAACTCAGCCCGAATCCTTATGTCTTATCCGTCAGGTTCCTCGTTAAGTTGTTTACTCCGGTTTTCATTCGATCCTCTCATATACAGCGACGTCTTGTGTATTATTATTTAGTATCATTATCATTATTATCGTTATATAATATGCTGCTTCACTACGGTTGATTGGCTTTTGGACGTGGAACTGGATGGAGTGTGGTGTATACCATATGCGCGCGTGAAAGAGACAGAGAAAAGCTTTAAAGTTATCTTCTTTCTGTCTCACGGCGTTCTTGAACGAGAACGAGCGAGTGTTCCCTGAATATTTTTCGGTTTATTCATCCGACTGTAGGTGATGAAAAATGGAGTAAATTATCTACAGTCAAAACATCAAAATTCTATGCTTAAACACAAAGAAAATATATTGATATCTCTTCTTTTTCTTCATTTAAATTTATTCATATTTAAACAGGTCTAAGTTATTTATTTGCATTCTTTGCCAGATATCACACGCTGTTTTTAATAATAAGCATGTCTGTGACATTTATCGCGAACGAAGAATCAAAGAATTCTCGCTCGTCGTCGATCTCCGGGTCTAGATCTTTTTCGCTGTCGTTATTGTTTTTCTTTTTTTTTTTCAAAAAGGAACATATGAAAGATTATATATTTACGTAAGAAATCAGACGGAATGTATAGCATGCAGAGCGGATAGGTAGCGTTCATCATTCTTTTTTAGTTTCTCACTTTCATTCTCTCTCGACTTCGATTTGCCATCGATTTAGAAATTTGCGCATTCTCGATGAATTTGATGTTTCGATCAATCGAGTATAGCACCAAATCACACGTCGTTATCATCATTATTATCACTATTGCCATCGTCCGTATCTTTCTCTTCTTTTTTGTTATCATTATCACATATACATAGCGACATACTTTGTGTTAATAAATCTTAATCGTGAAGATGTTCAATGCGGTATGTAACTCTGTGTGAAAAAACACTATGCTTCACTACAGTAATTCATTTCCTTTCGTAAGTGAAGACTAAATTGGGCCGTGAATTTTTTGGAACTACGGTTGTAACTCGCATCTCCCGACCATTTGCGCCGCGATACACGGTATAAATAATGAAGCTGAAATTAATCGTTTTCGATTTTCAAAATATTTTTTGACTACAACATTATTTGGTGAATTTAATTATCCGATTTTTTTTACATTACTTGCAATTACTAAGCTTGTGATTGTTTTAATTTCAATTTTCTGGGAATTTATATATTTTCTAGAGTAAAATTCTAAACAAAAGCTTTATCTACTTTGCACGTTCCTGTTTGATTTCTTGGAATATAATCACTGTGCATTGTACTTTGTCACGAAAAAATATCGATCCTTTAAATAATTAATCGATGTTGTGTTCTTAAATAAAATTTAGAATTGTTAGAAATAATTTACATGTGGTGTAGAAAAAGTTTTTAAAACCATATTTTGAAAGCGATCAAGAGGAATTTATTTTATCTTTCAGCGAGGAAATTAACAAAGTTGTCCATAAAATCGCGTGCAAAATGATCGAGATGCGGTTTGGAGCAAGCTCTTTCGTAGCGACAATACGCGCGTTAAGAGATCTTCTCTCGATCTTTTCTCGAAAGAAGCTAGTTCACGGTTCTGCCAAGGATTCCACAGAGATGCCTCCAATCTATATATAATTCTTCGGTAGTCTTTTCCGTAAAAATAAACGAAGGAAATAGTTGACTTCCAAAAATTTCAAAACCAATATGCATAATAAAGTAGATAAAAAATATAAAAATAAATATTGATAACAAAATAAATAAATAATTTAAATATATTACATTAAAATAAATATGCAAAGATTGACTACTTCGATTGTAACCAGATTATCATAGTGACTTTACCGTAAAATATTTATGTATAGTTATTTCGTCTCACAAGAGAGACCACTTAACTATATATGTATATATATATAAACAGAATAATATTTAATAATTCGATTTGAGAAATCCTCAGAGATGCCGAACTTTGTTTACAACCCGCGAGTGCGATAATATCCCATAATTGTATACATAGATGTATACATACCAATAATTGTATATTCCGTATATAGACTTATATAAAACGCACGAAGCGGTTATTCGAAAGCTACTCGTTCCCGATTTTATTTATTTATAGCGACAAGCCGTTTCTGTACCTGTCGGCTCGATACTTGGCTTCGAGTTTTATCAATGGAAAAAGAATTCGGACTTAACTATGTGGATCCCGCGTGTTACGGGGGATCATTTTAATATCCTATATAACGTTAATGTTTTTCATGTAAATGTATTTGTTTAGATACCGTCTCTATGTCAATGAGTGAGCGTGCGTCTATGTGTTTGTGTGTATGCGTGTGTCTCATGTGTACAATGAATAAAAGAAAATTTACACAACTCAATTTTGTTGGTATAATTTTGCACGAAGAAAAAACATGTTGCTACAACGTGTTTTATTTCATATTTTAATACAAATAAAAACAATTTCAATAGAAACACTTTGCGATATAGAATATTTTTTCTGCTTCGTATAAAATTATTCCAAAAGATAGAACATAAATATTTTTCTTATCCATTGTATGTAACTCATACAATTGTGTTTTGTTTATATTTTTTATAATCTATGAGACCTTGCGATAAGATCACTAATCAGTCGAAGGATGAAAATAAGACACAAATGTATTTTCTGTGTGTATACGAGTGTACATGTCTGTGTATAGCGCGTGTTATAGATGTAATTGTCTATTTGTTTGTATATGCAAGCATGTGTAAGTGTACCGTTAGATGATTACGTTCCTCGAGTCATTCCTCGAAGTTTGAAACGAGACCGACGCGCAACCTGCACGCACCGTCGTCGTATAAGCTTCTCACGTCAATCCTTCACCCTGACGTATCCTTATCTAGAATTACTTTTCTCTTTTCGTTTTTACTAATGATGCGACGATCGCGAATTCACGACGCTGTCCTACAGTCTGTCTTTTGAGGAGAAAGAAGCTTTGTTATTAATAATCGGTAATTTAACTCGAGCTTCCGCGCCTTTTCGTGTTTCCGTCTCCATATCTTAGAATCTGGTCTTGCTCAATTTAAAAAATTTAGATGATCGTCATTTTAATCGTTTTGACTGTATGCTTCCCAGACAGCACGTATGTCCAAAATCGGGACATAAGACGTCTTAAAGATGTCTTAAAGATGTTTTTAAGACGTTTTTGGACACGGTGCTGTCTGGGTTGTCACATAGTAGTCCTTAATAAACAAGTAAATAGATTACAGATTGCAATTTTAACGTTCATTTTAATGTTAAAATTATTCGTTCTTTTTTCTGTCTTTCAAAGATCTCTTCTCTTGTTCGTACTGATAATTGTTTTTTCATACATTTCGATTTGTAATCAGTACACGCGATTCTTTCAACCCCTGCAAGTTTTGAATATTTTCAGAATTGGCAATATATTCTGACATAAAGAAAAATTTAATTCTCGAAAATATTGAATTATCAAAGTGGCGTTCAGTCGAGAAAATTCACCATATCGAGAACATCATATCTTGCTTCTTTTTCCCCCTTTCGCTCTCACGTACAACATATATTTTTCTGAGCAGCTACAAGCTACGAAAGCACGTGGACAGACCAATCGACGATAGGACATAGCAGAATGGGACAATAACCTTCTCCCGGAAAGGGCCGTCCTGCCCTGTCGAGACAAGAAACTGTTCGTAATTCTTCATCAAAGCGTCCTCTTCCTCTTTCTTTCGAAGAGCACTGCTTCTAATTCTCCGCGCCGTTGCCTTTTCCCCAGAACTTGTCGAAGCGGTTTCGCGCTTTCTCCAAGACGTCGGTCGCTGATGAACGTTGCGCTGAGCCCGGTACCACTGCCGGTGCCTCCAGAACGTGGTAACCACTCGCGGTGCTACCTCCGGTGCTACCTCCTATGCCAGCGGTACCGCCGGCGCTGCCACTGCCGCCGCCACCTTGAGACGACGACTCGGCCTCGAGAACGCGGTAACTCTGCTGCTGCGACGCGGGCGACGTCGATGACGTCGTCGTCACCGGTGTGCCACCCTCCCTTTTGCTTTCCACCTCGAACGTCGGATCTTCCAAGCGTCTCAGGTTCGCGCCCGGCACCGACTTTGTCGACAATTCCGGGCTCTGTCGCTCTTTCGTCTCCTCGACGTCAGTGACCTCCTACAATTGAACGTGAGAAGAATTATCGCAAATTACAACGTCTCTTATAAGGCTTAGCAATCATCGTTTTACATATGCATACTGTATTAATGTAATATAAATAGATTATCAAATTAAGGAAAGCGCCATTAAACAGTCCAACAGGAGTGGATCTTGGATGAATAATATTATTCGCGTGAATTTTACGTGCAATTTTTCGTCTTAGCAAATCATGCGCTGTTACTTCAAACGCAGTCTCAATCAAAGTTAGAAAAGCACAATGAAATATAGAATTTGTTGCGAAAAATTACATTTCCATCCAGTTTTAAAAAAATCAATAAAAAGATTTGGAATATTTCGTGTTTTATTTTGACATAAAATATATTTTGCGATAAAATATGAAATGTCTCGTAAAATATTCATCTTTTGATGACTTTATCTTAATATTTTCATGCTTATGATAATAAAATATCGAAAGAAAACATGTATCTACATTTAAAAGAAAGTATGCGATTTGTGTTGTGTGTGTGTGTGTGTGTGTGTGTGTGTGTGTGTGTGTGTAACGAGGAAGGGAAGGAGGACCGAGGAGGAAAGAACATATCCAAAGATATATAGTTTCTGACCTTTTCATCCTTCGTGGGTACGTCTTGCACGTTCGTGGGCAGCGGACTATCCCTCTCCGAGTCCAGGTCCTTGTGTCCATTTATGCCGCTAAAACTACCGAGCGAGACGCTCTCGCTCTCGGGTGACTTGTAGCCGGAGTGCTGGGAATGCTGCGACTTGTGCTGAGCCGCGAGTTCCGGCGGTGCTGATTGCGGTGCTGATGGTAACGAGGATGGTGCCCACGTCTTCGCCTCACTATGTGGACGCGTCAGAGGTTCTTCGAAAGAAGCAAATAGAATTTTAATCATGATAATCACTTAAATATCACCTGTCACGCGTTATTAATATACCTACTTTATGCTAATTCATAGGCAACGCCATTATTTTATACATAGTATTTTTGGTGAAAGGGCAACCTCATCAATTTCAATGATAATATACATATATTATCAAGGATATGGCTCTGAGTAACATTCAAGTTAGCCATCAAGTTAGGTAGAGCACCACGTATATCAAGGTCATTGAAATCAGTAAGATTGCCAGTTCTACTAATATGCAGTTCTACCGTATTTTTTTCCAAATATGCTTTTTATATACGACACTTTATAGATTTACGACGTATGAAAAATAACGCTAAATAAACTTTTCAGGGAGTACAAGTAATTTCCTCGAACTGAACAAGTTACAATTTTGTGGTTTTGCCGCCGTGCTTTTACCTTCTCGGACATTTTGCGTAACGGTAAAGGTCTTGCCGGTGTCGAGGGGTACGGTCCAGTTCACGGGTTCCGGCGAGCGCATGATCATCTGCTCCGGCGATTTCACCCTCGTCGGCTCCGGCGGGCTTTTCACCACCGGTTCGTCGTCCAACCAGGGACTTCCTTGGGTGACAGGCGCTGGCGCCACCGCCTTTGTCGTTTGCGACGGTGGTGTCGAGGCGACACTTGAATCCCCGCCGGTGACATCCCCGTTTACTTGGGGTTCCGCCGTCACTAGAACGTGTGGAACGAACCGCTTTATCGTCGACGTAGATGATCGTTCTAACTTCCCACCCCCCCCGTGTTCCCCGAAGCTTGCACTCGATGATGAGTCGAACTATCGCTATTGATTCGTATAATACGCGCCCTACCCTTGATAATCCTATTTATTTATTATCAAATAATATGCGGACATCAATAATGTTCGAGATTTCGATTATTGCAGTGCGATTTAGTTCGAGATTTGCAGTTAAATTTGAAAATTTCCATAACTTGAGAAAGTGTTAAATTTCAAAGGTCACAACGTCGGGCGCGAATTGTATCTCATCATCGTCGCAGCGGCAAAGTTGCAGTTGTATTTGTTCTTGTTGACTGAATTCAACGTATTTGGAATGTTTATTTCTATGTGTAAGTTACAAAAGTTGTTGCGAAGTGCTGTATATAAAATTAGACTGGACGATGTCACTAACGTAACTTCGGTACATCCGAAGCAAAGTGTTGGCGAATATCAATTACGGATGACGAGGGAATCAATCTTTTCGCTGCGGTATCTTGCAAATTATCGAAATATATATTAATTAAGATAAATTTATTCAACAATTTATCCATTTACTCAGCTATAATATAAATCTATAATTAATTATTTCATATGTTATAAATATATAATTATTTACTCAACTCTTAAATCGCTATACATGTATCGGTACTATAATAAATCTGGTAATGATAGACAAGCATGTACACACTGAGAAAAAAATATTTTAATCCAAAATAATATTTATTAGGTGGCTCCTAATAGCATATTTACTTATTTTTTACACATATTTATTTAGAATTAGATATTTTTATTTTAATTAAATAAAAATATCTAATTCTAAATAAATATGTGTAAAAAGTAAGTAAATAATGCTATTAGGAGCCACCTAATAAATATTTTTTTGGATTTTTTCTCAGTGCAGTTGATAAGGCAGCAAAAGGATGAATAAAAAACGCTTAAACTATCGTTCACCGAGACAGTACAGTCTTTTACACGTGTCATTGGAATGGATATTGACCAACATTGAAAGTGCTAATTGTTCTACGCTGCTGCGACGAGATATCTTTGTCCCCTTATCAATACGTAGGAAATGTCGAATTCCTTGAGATATTTTTACATGTTGTTTTTCATACCCCTGAGGGGATTAAAAGATTTAATGCCGGCATCGAGTGCAGCCAACTCTCGAGCGTGAGTAAAGAATACAAGAAGGCCGCTAATAACGTATATCCCGTAAAGTATGTATGTACATTGACGACTTGACGTATTCAAAATGCAATATATAAAGATACGCAACAATACATACACAGCTACACAGACATGGGGAGAAAGATGGGGGGAGAGAGAGAGAAAAAGAAGGAAAAAATTAGAAGAAAGAGGGACGAGGAAGAGGGCAGAGAAAAGGGAAAAAGGGAGCGGGAGAGAGAAAGAGGCACAAAACATAAATATATATTTACATATATATATATATATATTTATATATACACACGTATGTGCTATGGTGTGCAGGCGTGTACATTGCGCAACAGGTTGACAAAGAGCTTGATGTACATACGGTATCAATTTTTCGATAATCGCGGAAACGTATAAACTTAATTTCCCATACTTGCACCGTATTTCATGCTTTTCTTTCATTATTTGTTCATTCATCAATTAAGTCTTCGCAATAGCGTGGAAGAAACAAAGAATCTTGCACGCTAAACGGAGAGTTTTGTTATTTGCCTTCGAAAAGCACAAGTATGTCTAATTACGATAAAGAGAATGGAGAGAAGGGAGACGAAAGAAAATAGAGAGAGAAAGAGAGAGGAGGGAAAGGCGGAAGAAAGAAAGAGAGGAAGGAGGGAGAGAGGGAGGGAGATATCTTTTATAACAAAACACTCCGATCGATTTGGCAAAGTTCCCTCAGACTATTGCATCGTTTTGATATTTTCTAGTTTCACTTATTTAACAGTTTTACTCATGGATGTTATTCTTGTTATTCCAACAAAGTAAAGAATGAATGTTCTTCTCTTGGTAAGCAGCTTTTGTTCTCTTACACATGATTATAAAAACACAAATTTCAATTTAATCCTAAACCCTATCCTTATTTTGGAAATTTTAACAAATCTCCTTTATTGAAGGTTCTGAAAATAATGTACTTAATTTATTAAGCTGTTGGAATTCAAGGTTAAAACAATTTGAGTATTATTTCAGTTCTCTTAAGTTTGTCAATTATTATCTTTCTATCAGTTTAACTATCAACCTGTGGGAAAAGTATCGGGTACTAATCGGGTTGCTAATATATCATCATATTTTATTGTTAGAGGCAAAAAGAAGATAATTTTCATCTCGAAGCGCTCTACGCGAAAGCTCCTAGCTGATAAGGGCTGCTTGAATAGTACGGAAGATAATGATTGCGAATCACTGCGACATAATACATTATATATAGGTATTATGTAACAACAGCCAGAGTCGAAAGTAAATGATGAAACGAATATGTTTGGAAAATAATTGAGTCAATCTGCAAAAGGTATATCACAAGAAAATCCTTTTATTAAAAGTGTAACCCCTCTTGTTATATGCTTTTACGAAAGTTGTTTGAAATGTTTCTTAAATGACAATGAAAACATCGTATTTTTGAGTTCAGATGCATTTTTTTCCAACATAATCCCTTTTGTACTTCATCCAATGTTTGTCTAATGCAGTTATGCTAGCATTATTTAATTTATTCGACTCTTCCAAATAGCTATCTACAGTCTGGGTTATCTCTTTGTTTGATGCAAAACGTTTATCTTCGAGTCATTTTTTCATATTTGAAAACAAATAAAAGTCGCACGGGGCCAAATCTAAATAAGGCGGATGTGGCAGCAATTCGAAACTCAATTTATGAAAAGAATTTGATCACTGTTTGATTACTAAATTTCAGTTCTTTCCATTTTTCTAGAAATATCGAACACAACAACTTTCAAGCATTGTCAAACAGAAACTAGGTACTTGACAGATTGACTTTTTATGACAATCTTATAAAAGATGAAACTATCCACTAAATTCAAAATTATACGAAAAATCACAGCATTTATGTATAACTTAAGAAACTTTTTGAACAATCTTCGTACATTTGCAAAATTTCCCATTATCGGAAAATTTTATCCTACTCTACATAGAGAGATTTGCAAATATAGTGCAATTTATTTTATGCAGAAGAGCAATATACATGTATATATTGCCTAGTATGACGAAATGTTTCCGCATCCGATGAAGTGTGATATAAGATAATAAAATCGTTTATCGTATGTTCATAGTCACTAATATGTTTTCTAGTTTTCAGAAGATTTCAAGTGTCTCAGTACAGAGAAGTTTCTCTGCGAGAACAATTTGTCAGCATTTTTGGATGGAGATGAAAAACGTTGAAAAGTAATTTTAAAGAATATTAAAGAGTACTAGTTAGTCCTAGTCAAGATTCCTATATGCAAGTTCTGGATAAGATATACTAGATAAATTGCAACGCAAAAAGATAATTATGTCTGACAAAATTAATGGATTCATAAACATTTCCGTGAAAGCACTACTGTACATTTCTCCATAATATAGATTTGGTTTATCATGCTTTGTCCTGTGCTGATTCTTTGATCGATTCAAGGAGGATTTTCATAAAGAATGCGAAAAATGTAAATGTACGTATAAGATAAAGAAATGTATAGTATGTATATATTTAAGAATAAATTGTTGTGGAACACAATAAATCGGAAATGCGTCGATAGAGCATCGAGTATCTAACAATAAGTCAATTACAATACCACAAAACTCAGAGAAATCAGTTCAAAAGAAAAATATAATTTATATCACTAATTTTTATATTAATCTTTAAATTTCGATTTTAACAATGCATTTTTTTAAATTAACTATTTAACAGAATTTACTTTCCTTTTTTACATTCGTTATAAAACAAAGTACAATTCATCCTCTAAATGTAATCTAGAACTTATCTTTCCACATCTCAAAGAAAAAGAGAAATTATATAGTGCTTTGTGCAATTATCATACACCCACCTTTCTTTTTACGCGTACTAAATACGTGCCGCGTAAGAAGAAATCGCGTTATTTGGAGAAACCAGTTAAAAAATGGTGCTATAAGAAAAAACTGAACTAAAACAAACGTACTTAAAATTTCTAGCTTAATATGCACATCCTCTTCGATTGAAAGTGCACATGCCATGTACATGATTTCTAACTTTATAGAAGGGAGGAAATATACACGCTGTTTACATATTATTGTTTGAAAAGAATAAAGAAAGGGTGAACGAATAACATATAAATGATGATCGTATTATGATTGATAATGACAACTCAGCTGCTGAAATATAATTGGAGCTACAACGATGATTGAAAAAAAATATTTAGTCTGTTTAGAGTATTACTCGCTTTTTTAACATGATAATATGCACGGACATGTGTCCAATTGTAAAATTTTCATTAATTCATTATTAGGAATTAAAATTAAGGTCTGTACATACACCTATACTCCGTTTAACGAGAGAATATCCGTGGATCGGACGAAAACTCGTAGGTCTCCGTTCACAGAACCTCTATTTACGTATATGCATACGCTCTAAGGATTTTATCTCCACTTTTTTGCGGCGCTTATGCGCAGACCGTGGATATTCTCTCGCTGAACGGAGTATACATAAGAAATTACTCGAAAAACTTTTCGAAAGTTTTCGAAAAACCGCGTTATTTAAAAAAAATCGCGTAAAAAGAGAGTTGAATGTACTCTCTTTCGTGTATCCAGAGTGTAAAACAGTTGGGATAGATATAGGCTGCGTTCGCTTTGGGTGCTTTCGTGCTGAAAGCATCACTCCATCTTTTTTCAACGTGTAACGAGCAATAAAGATAGACTGACGCTTTTTCAGCACGAAAGCGCCCAAAGCGAACGCAACCATAGGCTGCGGTCTACTTGACGCTACAAATGCTTTGAAGCGTTCTTCTTCTCCTTCTTTCTTCATTGAAAGAAAGAAGCAGAGAAATGCTTCGAAGCATTTGTAGCGTTAAATAGATCGTAAGTAACTATAATCATGTAATTATAGAATTCAAATATTAACTTCGCTAAATCGACACTCTATCGTGCAACACGACAATAGACGGAGGCATTGGCTAAGGCGCACAGAGAAATGGAGAGAAAAAGAAACAGAAAAAAGTACAGGTCAGCGAATAAGAGAGATATATAGAGTGTCCAATTTTAATCAGTGCACTTGAATATCTTGAGAACTAAATAAGATATCAAAGTCTAGTTTTTTTAAGGTTGTATGGTTTCGGGAAAATATATTTTGATAAAAAAAAGTTGATTTTGAACGGGACTGTCAAGGTGAAATAAAGAGATCAGCTTTATTTTTTTAAATTATACCCGAATTTTTTCAACATCTATGTTTGTAACCCTTCTCACAACAAATAAGTTCAATAAGCACTCATCAAAGATCATTGGGGATCATGAGAATGAATAATGAAAGCAGATAACTTTTTAAATAGACTGCGAGTTTATTAGTGGATACAACAAAAAATGAGACACGTACGCAATTTTTTTTCATATGTATTGTTTTCTAATAAAACAACGTTTATTTTACTAGTACAGGAAATATAAATTGTCACAATTTTCCGCTTGAACAATGAGAATTTCTGTCAATACCCCAAAGACATTATTTATTGGGAAAGAACTAATAATGAATCCAATGAATTAAAAACGCGCATTACAGAAGTATTCAAAAGCCGTTAATAAATGTGATCTTTTTAACATCGTGTTAATCTCTGCATACGCAGTCAGTTTAAACATTAAAACGTGGGTGTTTAAAAAATTATGGGGTTTCATTTACAAAGTGAAGATGACTTTTATCTCATCTTGACGCTTCCATTCAAAATCAAATTTTTCTTTATCAAAATGTATTCCCCTTGAAATTATACAACCTGAAAAAATTGGACCTCGATATCTCGTTTATAGATTTCGAGATATTCAAGCGCGTTTGACTAAAATAAGACATTCTGTACATACAAAGATAGAAAAGAAAGATATCTTACATCAATCACAAAGTTACATTAACAATATATAGATACACAGAACACACGAGCACACGAAGCAAATACACTGGCTAATGACTGGACAAAGTTAAAAAAAAAAAAAAAAAAAATAGAGCAAGAGACTATAAACCGGGACTCTCTTTTTAGCCACGGCACAACATGCTACTTACTAGCTTGGACGGCGGTAGTAGCGGCTCGATTTGACGCGGATCGCGTATCGAGGGATGATTTGGATGATGGAACATCGCCGGCGGCTGCAGCCGCAGCTGCTGGATGGCCGCGGGCCAGTTTTGCCTGAGCCTCGTCATTCGCACCACGGCACCTTTGGCTTAAATCTTTAACGCCGCGCTCCGGCCTGGCCGCAGCGGCAGCGCCCGACGTAGGTGGGTGATGGACGGTCATATGAACCGAATACTTTACCGGGGAACGTTTTACCGGGGCGGTACTTGCGCTAATACTGTTAGCGGTAGTGACAATGATGTTAGTGGTGTTGGTAGTGGTTGTGGGTTTGGCGTGATGAAGAGGGCGATGGGGAGGGGCGGTGGTCGCGAGGAAGGCTAGAACATATTGTACAAGAAACAGTACAATTGATGAATTGAGTTCTCTGGCCCGTATCTTGTGCGCGCGCATCTGTTTTATCGCAACGATTATTCTCACCGGAAGTCGAAATCGATCGTTAATCGAGAAAGTGATCCTTGGTGCCCTTTTGCTCTCGCGGGAGGAAAGCTTCCAAGGAAAAGTGATTGGTCTTTTTGCGAAACTTTTTTAATTGTCTTAAGAACATTTAAAAGAAATTGTTTTTTTAACAATACTTCGATATTGGCTTTTTAAATAATTATTTGATTATGTTGTCAAATTTCAAATATTAGCTTGTTGCTATACAAATTATATCTTATTGCCACTCACAAGACAAACAAAGCTGGCGTCATTTTTCACGAAACTGACAACAAGAGCCGAGTTTGATTTACATAACTCATTTAAAATAAGATGAAAAATTTAAAATAAGTTTTGTAAAATAGGATGAGCTTCTTACTGGTATTGATATATTCTTTTACTGAAATATAATTGCAAAAAAATGTTAAGAATTGCATAATTAAATTGCATTAAATTAAAATATAAACTTATTTATAAATAATGTTAGAATGTGAATTAAAAAAAATATTTTCACTAGTTAGTTTTAAGAAAATTTATAATAAAGTTGAAAATTTTGTAATAGAACTTAATAGAATACTCGATGAATACATTGAATACTGCATGTAATACAATTTTTAATAAAAATAATGTAAAAATATTAAGAATTGAACAAATCAATGTTTAATATATATTTTAAAAAATCATATTGAAAGTATCATCAAAGATTTAAGTAATTTTATTATGATTTTTTATAACGGTGAAAAATAAAAATTTATTATAATATTTATGTCATCTAAAATATTCGATAGAGGAATATTTAATATTGTAAGTCTTCACATCGCATATTTATAAACTTAATATTATTTAAAAACTCTTGATTTTTGTACTTGATGAATTATCTTCCTCTTCCTTTGGTATAACATTTTTTCGTTTTCTTCCATTTCAATATGTTTCATTCTTCTCTGCAATTACTTTTTACCAATAAAAGCACTTTTCCACTTCGCATTCATTCTCAATAACTGTATAGTTACCAACTTTGAGTTTTAATTTATGCAACATTGCCAAGTAATTTTTTCCAACAATCAAAGGAGGATGTGCATTTTAGGCATTTTGAGTACGCAGGGATTGAATTCATTTTTTTTAAACAGTATCACTTGCTGAATTCGAGAAAAATGGCCAAAAAAATCGTAGGAAAAGTTAAACGCATTTTATACCGAAAAAAGTAACGGTTGATTTTATCACTTTCTCAAGCCATCTCAGCAAATTTCTCTTATATTTTTATTAAAATCGTGGTTTTTTTACTTGTACTAAATAAAATTTTGTGATGAAGGCTATTATTGTAGAGTATCTATAAAATGAAATACTATAAATATAATAGTCTACAAATAAATGTTTCTCGTAACTCCTGTAACAGAGATTATGGATCTGATTTGGAAGTCATATAGTCGTAACTAATTATATGCTTTTATACGGTTTTTTTTTTTTCATTTGCATTCAGCAAGTGATACTGAGTAACAAAAAGAATCCAACGACTCCTGCGTGCTCCCCAAAATCCCTAAAATGCATACCGTCTTTTAACAATAAAATCTGTTTAAAAGAATATATTTTTAAGTTTAAAGTTTATATTTGACACTACTGTATAACTGAACAGTTATACTCTATGTAATTATGTTTATAAAATTCTTCAAAAATTAATATATTTATATTCTTTTCAAATACTAATATTTAGGATTAATAATATCTGATTTCTTTTTATATGTAGAAGAGCGTTAGTCGTTACTTCCCTCTCATTGCTCATCTCAATCTTACAACCTTCTTAACGTTTGCAAAATAAATCTAAGCGTTTGATGTATAAACTTCGATATATCAATATATTAATAATTTTGATTTTTCCCCCTTCCCTTGATTGAGATAAACCTTGTACAAATCGGAGCATAATAGAATTTGCAATTTTTTCACACTTAAAAGACATTTTTTCTAAAATAAAGCTATCATATATTTTTCTCGTTTATTTCGAAACTATCAACATCAGTATAATAATTTTAAAAATATGCTCAATTAACTTGTATGAAATGCATCCCAAATAATTCTTATACAGGTATGGTGTTTTTCCATGTTATATTACTTTATATTATTATCACATCATTATTTGTTATCACATTAAAAATTCAAATTATATCATGTTTTTAACAAAGGCGGGCATTATTATTTGTTACAATCTATCAAATATTGTCCAAACGAGGTTGCGACGCTTCTACAAAGTCTTGTCATGTTATTGGGGATTGATTGCTAAATGCAAGATATAGGTGAACAGGTTGAAAGATATACAGGGTAGTGAAAATGTTCCGGGATGGTTGAGTGTCTCGTAAACAAGACATTAAAAAATATATAATATATATATTTCCTATAAAAAGTAAGTTTCAAGTAAAGTTTCAAGAAATCCATTTGATGATGTTATTCTGGTGTGTTTCCTGTTCTCTTTGTAGTGAGGTGTTGGCAAAAAATTTTAGTGAAAAAGTCAACAAAGTTGTAGCACAAAAGATATTTTCAGCGTTCCTGCTCAAAGCGTATTCAAATGCCGCAACTTTGAAAATCGGCGCAGGTTACGCTAACCCAGTGAGTGTATTGAGGGTTAATAACCTGAAGACATAACGATAAAAAATTACTGATGAGATTACACTAATTCCTCAAAAAATGTTTAGAGGTGCGATTGCGTATTTATGGTCAACTGATGCATTATTATCCTTATATTACAACGCTTCATACCTTAAAACATTTGTAGAAAACATATTTTTCAAAAATGTATATAATATTTACAAAGTATTCAATCGTCTCGCAAATTTTCGAAAACCTACTGAATTAAAACAATTATCTTGAATAGGTCCAAATATTTATCGAAGAAAAGAATGTCTTAAACAAAAGTTGTTTTTTTTTATATACATATTCTTTCTCCGCGCGCAAAGAAGTGCTAATTAACTCCCCTTCTTACTTAAGATTTTTTTACCCCAAAACCATCAAAGAGAACAAGGGACATGGATTTTTTCAAAAATGCATTGTTTACGCTATATTCAACTCAGAATATTTTCACCACTTTATATCTCGAAGCCATCAAAATAAATTAATCGTTCGCCCTCGCTCGAATATACATAAGAACCTAATTGCAGTCGCGAAATGGATTGTACCATAAAATCTCATCTCTTATATAACGACTAATCGCAGGGTGATGTCAGTTCTGGTCGTTCTGGTCTCGTTATTTCATATTGCTCGAATGCAACGCGTTAATTAATTAGTCCAGTTTAATCAACGTCAATTGTAATGTGTATTTTTTCCCAAAAGTCTGAATTATAATTAAAAAAATATCATTTTCTAGTAAATTTTAATTATTGTTATCTCTTAACAATGACATAATTTGCGAAATAAAAGTCAATATTTAAAATTTTTATTTTATATAAAATCTTTTAATAAAGTCTTTTAATAAAGTCTTTTTATAAGCAATTCACTGTTGTTACCTAAGCACAAAGTATGATTTTACACTTTCTCGTGAATTTATATTATTGTCTATATGTATTTTGTATTTGAGTCAAATATACTTGATAAATACTTGAATGTAGGCACGTTTAAAATTTAGAGCTTTAAATAATCTTAACCCGTAAGTGCTCAGGTGACTTTTTTGACATAAGCGCTCACGTGGAGGTCAATTTAACCCACATTTTAATTTATTTATATTTTAAGTAAACAAAATTGTTCATTTTTATTTATAATTAATTATAAACTAAGACGTGTTTTAAACAAAATAATAATTTTTAAGCAATAGAAATTTAAAGTCCATATTAAAAAAAAAAAATTATTTCTCTACATAATCTATTTAGTTAATAACTGCATAGTTTGCAAGTTGTGCAGTAAATACAGACCTTTAAAATAATCAAATAAATTTTAATTATTATTGTACTTCAACTTAAAGTATAAACACATAGAACATAGGAGTATTATTTCAATAATATGATTGTTCCAAGCTAGCAATAGTTCTAAAATTAATATATTATCGTATCAGTTTTTTATAAGTACATGTTCGTCTGCTTGCATCGTAATTTTTTATAGCAGATTGTCACAAAAATAATTAAAAATATCAACAAAAATTATTATTAAAAATAACTAAAAATTATTAACAGACAATATTTTAAAACAAAAATGTATTTATATTTATAAAAAAATATAAAAAAGAAGATCTAAAGTACTGTGAACTAAAAATGAGTTTTTTTTATAAATAATTATTTTTTTCTTATAATTAACAAATAAAATAAACAGTACGCTAAATTAAATCACAGAAAGTTATGTATGTACGTGTCTGGGGATTAAAGTAACCCAAGGAATAAAACAAAATTACTGTTTATAGCTGAAATTTTTGATCGTCAATTATTGACGCTACTAAATCCAAGAGTAAGTGGAGCGAAAGTATTGAAAGCGTCAATATCGCTAAGACAAAAATAAAACAGAAAAACATTCATTTGTTCATGCGGGATTATCTCGATTGCACACATTGCAATATTACCAATCGGACACGACAATATTTTCCAATCGGACATAGTCGCTATCGGGCACGCACAGTCCTGATCGGACACACTCCCGATCAGACAGTTTCGACTGAGCACAAACTCGATCAGGCACAGTTCCGATCGGACACAGACTCAGGTCTCAGACATGGGTTTCCAACTTTTCACGCAAAGCGACGTCCACCCTACACCGCCCGGTGCTTAAGTGCAAAATAAGGTCTATTATTATACGGGAATGTCTAATCGGAATTGTGTCTGATCGAGTCCGATCAGAACTGTGTCCAAACAAGACTGTCCAATCGGAAATGTGTCTGACTGGAAAATATCGTCGTGTCCGATTAATAATATATGCAAACGAGACTCACTCATTCATGCGTCTGGATCAGTTTAACCTACACACTTACGGGTTAAGCAGAAATCCATATGAAGATATAAGGTAAATTTATAGAAGTCCACGTCCGATAAAGAAGTTACGCTATATACATTCAGCACGTACACAAGATTTTTTGGCTAAATGGATCAGCTAAATTAATCGTGTCATGTATCGAAAACGATTTGCGCACGATGGCGAAAAAGAAAAGGGAAAGAAAATGTGATTAAGAAAATAATTGTAGGATAAATTCGCTTCGCGAATCAAGTTTCTAACATCTTGCAAGAATTTTTCTAGAACCATTCCGGGAGAAGTCTGCAAAAGGTTTATGACAAGCCTAAAACGCATCAAAGATCATCGAGATCGAGAAGGTAATGGATGAATTGTAAAAGGGAAAGAGAGAATGGGGGAGCGCGCTCTTTGGTATGCAGTAATTCTGAAAATATGCCAGACCGACGCGTCAGAGACAGCGGGCACAGCAGGTGTACGTGACCAGGTACAGTAAACGTACATTTGCGATGTGGGACTTGCGGGGGCCTCTTGTGGAGCGGAGCAGGCCCTGGGCCCGAGGGTGGCGGCGGTAATGGCGGTATAGGTGGCGTCGACAAGCCAGTCGCCAGAGGAACCGTAGTCGCGGGTTCCCGTATGCTCCAACGGACACGTTGGCCTGGGCCTGCCGCGGCTGAAACACCCGCTGCCACTCCTGATGAATCTAATTCACGACGTCTCCTCGCGATCGCATATTCTCGTACGAAAATTTGTGAGAAAAAAGCTAGGGTTCGCGAAGAGGATATTAGGTAATTCGGAACGAGTACCAATATTGACAAAGCAGAAAACGATGATGACAATGATAATAATAATAATAATAGTAATAATAGTAATGATAATGATAATGATGATAATAATAATGATTATAAT